CTTTGATCAGGCACCAAATTGGTGGCCACCAATTTGATTTATGTGCTTGTTCTACATAGGGACATGTACATCCGCATTACATGTGGGCTAGGTAGGTTATGTGCAGATTCAGTTCAGATTCCCAAAATTTTTCCTAGACTAAGACCTGAACAATTGAAGTTCATTGAATTGAATTGTGTCTAGGCCAACAAAGAGAAAGACTAGGGGTGACATGATAGTGGTCTTCCAATATTTTTTTTTGGTAAAGTTTTTTTATTTTTTAAACACACAAACATACAATACATCTTTTCTAAACAGAATATTGGCCCGGTCTTAAATTTGTACAGATTTTTGTTCATCTTTAACACAATTTTATATGTTCAATTTTTCTCATAGCATTTATTCTCTCTAATTTTAAGAAACCAATATTACCCTTCATCTTAACTTCTCATCCTATTATAGTTCAATTTTTCTTTTCCCTCCTTAAAATTTGAACCCCTAAATTTAAATTCACATAACATAGTACAATCCCCAATTATTTCCTTAAATTCTCTTATTCTAATCACCAATTATTCTTTTATCAGCTATTCTAAATAATACAATTCAACATATTAGTAGAAACCTATTAAATATATATCTTCACCCAAATGTTCCGACTACTACAATTTCATATATTAAACTTATTTCTGGGTCTTATTTTCAATTCTTAAACATTTTATCATTTCTTCATATTGACTTAAATAATTCATTATTGCCATTCTATTACTTCATCAATTATGTGGTCTTCCAATATTTGAGGGACTGTCCTAAAGAAGAGGGGGGGTCAACCTATTCTCCAAAGCATCTGAAGGCAGGATAGTATCAGAAGTATCAGAAAAAACAATTACTACCAACCTGCCTTCCATTGAGGACCTGTATGCTGCACGAGTCAAAAAGAGGGCTGTGAAAATATCTACAGACCCCTCGCATCCTGGACATCAACTGTTTCAACTCCTACCCTCAAAACGACGCTATAGAGCACTGCACACCACAACAACTAGACACAAGGACAGTTTTTTCCCGAACGCCATGACTCTGCTAAACAAATAATTCCCTCAACACTGTCAAACGATTCACTAAGTCTGCACTACTATTAATCTTCTCATCGTTCCTATCACCCATCTTCTCCCACTTATGACTGCATGACTGTAACTTTGTTGCTTGTATCCTTATGATTTATATTGATATTGTTTCCTGATTGCTTATTTGTACCCTATGACTATCATTAAGTGTTGTACCTTATGATTCTTGACGAATGTATCTTTTCTTTTTATGTACACTGAGAGCATATGCACTAAAGACAAATTCCTTGTGTGTCCAATCACACTTGGCCAATAAAAAAATCCTATTCTATCAACCTAGAAATTTCCTGACAGTGAGAACAATTAATCAGTGGAATGATTAATTGCCTCCAGAAGTTGTGGGTGCTCCATCACTGGAGGCTTTCAAGAAGAGACTGGACAGCCCCTTGTCTGGAATGGTATAGGATCTCCCAGTTTAAGCAGGGGGTTGGACTAGAAAACCTCCCAGATCCCTTCCAGCTGTGTTATTCTGTATATTCTTGTATCACATAAATCAATAAATCCTCCTTTACATGCCACAAAGGTTCAGCTCACATGATTTGGAAAACTAACAGAACTTCGTATGCAGTGGTTTTAACACATCTGCCCTTTCAGCCAAAGTTACACCAGTGAGAAAACTTTTAACAAGAAGCATTTCAAAAAACATCACAGATGAATTAGAAACAGAATTTTCTTGTCTTCTGCCAGGTCCAGTTTTGTGTGTGTGTGTGTGAGAGAGAGGGGGGGGGGGAGAGAGAGAGGTAACCTTCAAAGAAATCAGTTCTTGAAGGCAAAGATTTGGGAGAGCTGTCTCTGTTTACCGCTGAAAATGGAAAATCAGATCTTTGGAGAAAAATCTGCTGTCAGGACACTGCTCAGAAATTGTGCCTGGACCACCCTTAATAAATTCATCATACCTCTAATATCCAAGTGCAAGCAATTACACAGAAACACACAAAAAATCCAGACACCGTTTGTTTCTTTGGAAGAACAAATAATGGTTTGGTGAAAATGGTAGCAAAGAGATGCGTAGATTGCATCTGTCCTCTCTCCTGTTTTTATTTTCTTTCTTCTCCACCAGAATCCTCTTTATGAATCGCTTTATCCTTCTCAATAAGATACTGTCTGCGCAATCAGTGATGATAAATGGCAAATAATTGTAAACCTGATATTGCTTTTCAATATTGAATTTATCATGCTGTCTTCTTAACACATATTAAATACTTTAAAGAATTTATATATTTGTTAGATTACTCCGTGCTTCTCCCCCACACCCACCCACCCTTTTCCTCCAATAAGCAAAATGTATTAGTTTTCTAGTTTGCGGGAATCTAAGAATAGACAACATCATTAATAATACTGAATAACAATCTGGTCTCCTTCACAGCTAATCTCTCCTTACTAATCCAAAGAATTCAAATCAAATAACTTATATTAGATTTAGGTGCCGAGACCCAATGCAAAATATTCATTCTGTGCTCTGCGCTCTCCATGCAGCTGATTTCACTCAATTTTTGCCTGAGTAGGGGAAAAAAGGGAACTTATCAAATTAGAAAGCTTTGAGGAATAATTGATCAAGATGATCGGCCTCCAAGATTCAGGAGGCAGTTATAGAAACAGTCAGCTGCCAGCTTGGTGAAAAGTCCTTGCCAATCCATCCAGAAAGAGAAACATAAAGTCTTGCCATAACATATATGGGGAGAGATTAGTTCTAATGAGAAACAGTTCAGCTCTTCAAATGCTTGTAACCCCCGTGCCATCCCTTTCAATAAATCTTGCTAAAGAAAACTGTGAGCATGACGCATGGAAAGGGCTCACTTTTAGGCAGCTGCCAATAAGCCTGACAGAGGTTGGATTAACTGTCTGAAGACTCGGGCAGCTGCAATCCAAACCCAGGCGGAGGAAGGTTGAGTTAATTTGCTGCAGTGATTCCTGGATCGTTTCACAAAGAGCAGCTCTTCCACTGTTTTCCTAGAGGCGTAAATCTGAGGTTTGGGGCAGGAGTGAAAGAGCCAATGGAAACCCAGTGTGGTGTTCATGGGGTGATGTCCAATGGCTGAATCATTCCCAGCTTTGTCCATCATCTTTCCTGAAATTTGAGACAGGATTCTCCAGACTAAAAGAAACCGAACAAATTCAGGGAAGAGCTTGAAGGAAGAATCTAGAATCCCTAACAAATCAGCAGACTTTTTATGAAGGCCCATTTTTATTCTTTGCAAACAAACAAACAAAAAAAAAAACAACCCAACCCTACAATACTGTTACTTTTTAGTTTATAGGGCTAATTTTTCCTACGAAGTGCCCAGTGGCATCAATTTGGTTTGTTGGTTCCTTCTTGGTGTCTACCAGACTTCCTGCTCCCCTTACTGCTTTTTTTTTAAATTAGAAATTTAAAAATTATGCTTTTTTAAAAAGAAAACCAATCACCACTCTCTAACATTATTCTTTTTAAGATTGCTTGGATTTTACATAGGAATTCTTAGAAGATAAAAACGAAGCCCAAGAGGCAGCCATTTGGTGCCAGGGTCCATAACATGCTGCCAAAATTCCCAATATTTTCACCAGTTTAAAATGATAGCAAGCCCACGGAGCACGGAATCACGCTTTTCAAAATAATATTAACCATCTCCTGCATTGGCTCACAGGAAGCATGACTGGCAGGGAAGATGAAGGGTTGGATCTAAACTCAAGGAATAACCCTGGATTGTGTGTGTTCCGGTCTCAAGGTCCAAGCAGGAAAAAAAATGCAATGGACAGGAAACCCATCAAATGAGCGACGGTTTTTAAGAAGACATTGGACAACCATTTGTCTGAAATGATAGGGTTTCCTGCTTGAGCAGGGGGGGTGGACTAGAAGACCTCCAAGGTCCCTTCCAAGCCCGTTATTCTGATGATGAGACAGGGCTTGACTCATCAAAATAACTTACAATGGGAACAAAGGGTAAAAAAAGAAGAGAGTTTCCTATGTTTGAAATTCAAGGTCACTCCAGAGTTCATTTTTTTCTCCCAAACTGTCTTTTTCATCTATGATTTCTAGCGATGATGAATATTTATTTATTTATTTATTTATTAGTTCGATTTATATATGCCGCCCTTCTCCGGAGACTCAGGGCGGCTTACAATGCGTTAAGCAATAGCCTTCATACTTTTCTATATACCTGCTTAGTAGGGCTTTCGGGCCCCCCTAAGTGGTGTTCTTTTTTATACAAAGTCATTTTATTGCCCCCATAATCCAGATCCTCATTTTACCTACCTCGAAAGGATGGAAGGCTGAGTCAACCTTGAGCCTGGTGAGAATTGAACTTGCAGTAATTGCAGGCAGCTGGTGCTACTTAACAGCACTTTAGTCTGCTGCGCCACCAAGGCTCTTATGTTCCAGATCCGAAGGCAGTAACCCTCTCCAAGCCAGTGGTGCAAGATCTACTTTTATACCCAGCTCTCTGGACCTAGCAGAATGTCCAAAGATCCTTTGGTCTGATATAAGGGCTATTTCTATATTTTTTTTTTACCTTCACAAGGCCCCTTCTTTTCAAACCGTTAAGACTTGCACTGAGTAAAACCTAAATGGGAAAGGGCACCTTCCTAATGTAATAAAAGGAACATAAACTCTTGGAAGTGGCCCATTGTGTGCTTCTAAACACAGAGAGCAGATTCCTGGCTAGACAGCAAGAAAGTGGCTTAAAAAGCGGCAGCAGCACAGAAAAGCAAGTCTCCATTTTCACTACAGTTCACCATGACGTCTCTTTTTGGCACGAGCTGCTGCTTTTCTGCCTCCTGTTTTCTTTTTTCTTTTTGTTTTTCCTCCCTTTCAGGGCACCCTCCCAGGGGAGATCAAACTGTCTGTGTGGGGTGGGGGTGGGGGGTGGGGTGAATGACCTGCCTCCATGCCACCTCCTGGCTCATGATCTGCTTGTCCCACAGACAGAAGGCAGGAAGGAGAGAGTGCCAGGTAAACCATCTGTCTTCATTATGGCCTAGAATAGATGCCAAGATGGTTTCCTGCTTTCCCCCCCTCCCAAATGGAAGAATATGCGAGTTGGGGGGGGGGGAAGGACCCACTTTGATCCGAAGACATCGCGACTCTGGATTTTGCCACCAGGTAAGCACAGGTTTTTAATCAGGCTGAAGCTGTAAATCTCAGCTGGACATTTTCTATCTCCAAAATCTCGCTGCGTTCAGCCCTTTCCGAAACCTGTCCCTTGGAAAAATAACAGATATCAAAAAGATGCATACTTGATTCCTCGGTCTTCTTCCTTTGAGCTGCTGAATTGGTGCCCATGGGATTTAATCTCTTGCAGGAACCAAAGGAAATGAGGTGGAGAGTGAAATGGTGTCCAAACATCTTTTTTCTTCTAGACCAGGGGTGTCAAACTCAAGACCCGCAGGCTGGACCTGGCCCACGGAGTGCTTAAATCCTACCCATGGGGCCACCCTGGAAACAGCGGAGGACGGGCCCACGGTGCCTCTGCTGCAGTGCTTCGCTGACAGGGGGTTGCAGGAGACTGTCGCAGCCAAAAACGGACATCAGGAGCCCGCTTTTGCTGCCATAGCACTGGGGCCACCACAGGCACTCGCGATACGAGTGATGTGCTGGCCCGGGGTACTTGCAGGACCATCTCCTGCCTGCCTGCTTCCCACCGTCCTGTCCGCTCTCATAGAGCCGCTCTCCTCAGGGTACCGTCGACCAGGCAATGCCGTCTGGCGACGCCCAGGGGTAGGGCGTTCTCTGTGGGCGCCCCTACCCTTTGGAACGAACTACCCACCGAGCTCCAGACGGCCCTGGATCTCTGCTCCTTCCATCGAGGCCTGAAGACTTGGCTATTCCAACGAATGGGCTGATGCTGATTCTTGGGTTTTATTATTTATTGATTTTAATTTGGTTTTAACGGGATTTTATTATTTTATCATTGTATGTTTTTAACTTGTGTTCGCCGCCCTGAGTCCTTCGGGAGAAGGGCGGCATATAAATACTGCCAAATAAATAAATAAATAAATAAATAAATAAATAAATAAATAAATAAATAATCCGGCCCTCAATGAAATCGAATTTGACACCCCTGTTCTAGATCAAGGTTCCAGATTTCTTGTTGCTGTGTAAATAAAAATAGCTATTCCCAAGGTGGATCAGTACAGGCAGTCCTCAGGTTATGGTCACAACTGGGGCCAGACTTTCCATTGCTAAGCAAGGTGGTTGTTAAGTGAGGCACACCCAATTTTACACCCTTTTTTGCCACAGTTAAGCACGTTGCTGCCGTTGTTAAGTGAATCCAGCTTCCTTCCCTGACTTTGCTTGTCCAAAGCCAGCTGGGAAGATCACAAATGGTAATCACATGACCCTGGGACACTTTGCAACCATCATAAATATCTGCCGGTTGCCAACTGCCCAAATTTTGGACACGTAACTACAGGATGCTGTGATGGTTTTAAGTGTGAAGACTCTCTGTAAGTCACATTTTTGAGTGCACTTTGAAACAGCTGAAACTCCTCTATACAGGTAGTCCTCGACTTACAACAGTTCATTTACTGAGGGTTCAGAGTTACAACGGCACTGAAACAAAAGTGATTTATGATCATTTTTCACACTTAGGACCATTGCAGCCTCCTCCATGGTCATGTGATCAAAATTCAGACACTTGGCAAGTGGTTCATATTTATGATGGTCGCAGTGCTGAAAAGCAGTGTCATTGGGGAAACCGGATTCACTCAGAAGTTGTGTCACTAACTTAACAACTGCGGTGATTCACTTAACATATGGGGCAAAATTCACTTAACAACTATCTCACTTAACAACATAAATTTTGGGCTCCATTGCAATCATAAACTGGGGACTATCTGTATGTTGGAGGGAAGAAATGGCACTGGGAGCAGCTGCTTGAAGAATCTGAAAACGGGTCTAAGGGTCCAAAGAATAAAATGCTCACCAGGAATGCGAAGTCACTCATTGGACCCACAGAAAACCAGGAGCTGAAGTCTTCTAACCCTTTTTGGTGATCAGGCAACATGCAAGTTGCTGCTTTTCAATATTTGCATAGTTGCTGTGAAGATAAAAAAAGAGATAATTGTACATTACAAAAACCGTCCTAGGTATTTGTTAGAATATTAGCAACAAAGCTGGATTTAGTCAAGTAAGCAGATTCGATAGCAAGAAATAACCATTCAGGTTCCAGAAGACAAATCCTAGCACAGCTAGTTTGCATTATTGGGGGAAAAAAATCTACTTTGGCCCACAGATGCTTGGTGCTCCAAAACAACAGCAATATCTCTCCTGCACACTTTCTGTTTTGCATTTGCAGTGCTTGCCATCAAACTCTAATAAAAGCTAATTCACAAAAATGAAGACAACAAGAAAACCCTGCAAGTAAACGGTGCTTAATGTTGTTATGGACTTTTGCAGGCATGAATAATTTTATCGAGGTCAAAATCGGCAATGCGCTCTAAGTAAAGTTAGTTTAACATTCAAGTTGACCAGTCTAGATATCGGCTATTGTTTTTAGCACATCATTTGGCAGTTTTCATTTTTTTCCCCGTTATCTGATATGCAGGGGACAATCAGCAAAGAAGGAGGTTGGATGAACAAAAAGGAATAAAAGAATCTGGAAAAAGAAAAAGGCGTCCTTAAATTCCAACATTAAAAGTGAGGCGACTAGAAGCATATTAAAAATAATTCAAGGTCTATTTACTATTTATTTATATTTACTTTACCATTTATTTCAACAGGATTGGCGCAAGAGAAGATAAAAAGGGTCTGGAAAACCGAGCCTCCCGTAAAAGAGTTCTATCTATCTCCATTCTTAATTAAATAACTCATTACTTAATAAAGTCAACCGATGATTTATTTGAATTCATTAATGCTGAATAAATGCTCCTCTTCGGTGTTGCTTTTGTCACTGACAAAGATCAGGTCCTGAAAATAAAGTAAGATGATTTTATTTAAGCAGGCCATGTTAACAAGCCCTGTGGTTAAATTGTGGTAAAAGATGGATGCCCTTCGCTTCTGCTTTTGAACATGTGCTGTTGGGGGATGGCAAGATGGAAGGTACCGAACGATGGCATCGTATTAATAAGGAGCAACCTTTCCAGGAGAATTGAGAATGTGGGAACCCTCCACCAAAGCAGAGTAACTGCCTTTCCCCCGGGGGTGTTCTTGGCATTGCACCAAAATATGCTAAGGCGGCCATCAATATCTCCCTCTGACTTTCATTGCAGGATATATTAAGTTACTGCAAAACTCTATAAAAATAGTTTGCTTGAGGAAAGAAATACGACTCAAAAGAGAACCTAGTCCTGCGTTAAAAAGCCAACAGGCAACAGATCAGGACAAGGAGACGGTGGGAAATTTGGCTGCTGTCCTGTCAAAGACACTCAACTCAATGGATGACCTCTGGCAAGCCGTTTGACCTTCCTGTTCTTTGGCTGCCAAAATCTCAGTCCTGGTAGAGCTTGTTTTGCATTTGCACCAGCAAAAAAAAAACCTTTCCTTCGAGAACGCCAGCAGAGCAGCATGGCTCAGCAAAGAATCTGCGCGCCGTCTCCTCTCTGCCTCCTCATCCTTGTAGCATTTCATTTTTACCTGCTTACTTAGAGGTTTGTCAGCACAAACTGCATTTTTTTCCTGCTTTTTGGAAGAAAAAGCAAACAACAGATGTGGGGGGGGGGCTGTTTACAGTGCAAAAAAAAAAACAATTAACGAAGTCAAAAATTATTCACCAGGAAAATTTAAATTCTGCACGTGCAATATTAAACATCGTAACATATGTCTATTTTGCATATTATTTTATTCATCTGAAATGCAGCCTGCCAGATATCTCTATGGGGCTGCAGAAAAATGAACCAGTGACAATGCAAAGTTTGCAGGACAGAGGAAAAACTGTCCAGGGTACTGAAATAAAAATACTGGCAATACTCTATTCTTCCAATCACTTTTTATGTGTCGTTCACATAGATACTACAGTACATACATCAAAGCTGCCTTACCTTTATGGTTACTGATTCTATCAGTTAAGAATCTTTAATAGTTGGAATTGTTTATAAAAATAGCTGTGTAAATATCCATGTCCATTGCCTGAAATTTATTTATTTATTTATTTATTTATTTATTGAATTTCTATACCACCCTTCTCCCGAAGGACTCAGGGCGGTGAACAGAATAAGATTTCATATACATATAATATATATATATATATATTTATAAACAGTAAATAATAAATTGAGTCAACTTGGTGTATCTGCTAAGACCTTGGCATAGAATTTAGATGTTTATGCTAGCCCTGCTTGTTGAAACAGAAAGGTCTTCAGGGCACGTCGGAAAGTGCGAAGATCTGGGATTATTCGTATTCCAGGGGGTATTTTGTTCCAAAGAGTAGGTGCCCCCACAGAGAAGGCTCTCTCCCTTGGAACTACTAGATGACATTGTTTTAATGATGGTACTATGAGTAGGCCTACTTTGTGAGAGCGTATTGGTTGGTGGGAGGTTATCGGTTGCAGCAGGTGGTCTCGTAAGTACTCAGGACCTACGCCATGGAGCACTTTAAAGGTAAGAACCAACACCTTGAAGCGCACTCGGAAGGCCACCGGAAGCCAGTGCAGCTCGCGTAGAAGAGATGTTACATGTGAGCGCCATGTTGCTCCCATAATTACTTGCGCGGCCGCATTCTGGACCAGTTGGAGCTCCGGGTGCACTTCAAGGGGAGCCCCATGTAGAGAGCATTGCAGTAGTCAAGTCGGGAAATGACGAGGGCTTGAGTGACTGTGCGTAATGAGTCCCGGTCTAGAAAGGGACGCAATTGGCGAATCAGGTGAACCTGATAGAAAGCTCCTTTGGCCACGGCTGTTATATGATCTTCTAAAGACAGTTGTGCATCCAGGAGGATGCCTAAATTGCAAGCTTTCTCTGCGGGGGTCAATGACTCGTCCCCAATAGTTAGTTTTAATTTTAGACCAATCTATAGTTTAAACATCATTCTGTGCTAATAAAGACAAGTTTATCCAACCGGAGTTACAAATCATTTGCTTTGCGGGGGAGGGGGTTCCCCCTTTTTCTTTTCAAGTGGTTATGGAAACATTTTTGTTTCTCTCTATGGTGCTATAAAAAGAGCCGTATATGCCAATTATCATTCTGAAAAAGATCCTCCCTACATTTTGTTTGCAATTCTGGTTTCCTGAAGTTGTCCTTACCGGCAAATTATAACTTGTAACAATGCTAGTGTAAGATTGTAGAATAAAAGAAGCTTAAACACATCTATTTATTTATTTATTGGTTCGATTTATATGCCACCCTTCTCCAGGGCGGCTTACAATGCGTTAAGCAATAGCCTTCATACTTTTGTATATACCTGCTTAGTAGGGCTTTCAGCCCCCTCTAAGTGGTGTTCTTTTTTATACAAAGTCAGCTTATTGCCCCCACAAACCGGGTCCTCATTTTACCTACCCCGAAAGGATGGAAGGCTGAGTCAACCTTGAGCCTGGTGAGATTTGAACTTGCAGTAATTGCAGGCAGCTGGTGCTACGTAACACCACTTTAGTCTGCTGCACCACCAAGGCTCTTCTATGACCAATATCCAAGGAATAAGGGACCTGAAATAGCCTGGATTGTCTGAATATTTCAGATCTATCCTTATCTGGGCAGGAACCCAAGCTGGAACATCTCAATATTTATGGAACATTTAGAGTTCCTTGATTACAAGGCCCAGGGTGTTTCTTGATTCAGTTTGGTTGTTTAGAATTACATTGCAAAGGGCTGCTAAAATAACTCTTGCCAATAAGAAATTGATTAATTCCTGTTAGCCATCTATCGGGAGAAATTAAATCAGGTGGCATCATTGAACTATTTCGAGTCATCGTTTGCTGCACAGATAACATGGGAGGAAGTTTAGGAGGGTACCTTAAAGCTGTATAGAAGGAAATCATTGTCCACCAGCATTTTTCTCATCTATATATGCTCATCAAAATGACCTAACACTGATGAATAGTTTCAGGTTCCTTTGAAAGCAGTCAAATTTCCGTGACAGGCTATTCAGGCAATCCTGGACTTACGACCACAATTGAGCCCAAAATTTATTTTGCTAGATGAGACAGTTGTTACATGAGTTTTGCTCCATTTTACGACCTTAACAACACCACGGTTGTTAAGCGAATCACTGAAGTTGTTACTATCACGGTTGTTAATTGAATTTGGTTTCCCCATTGACTTTGCTTGTCAGAAGGTCACAAAAGCGGATCACACGACCCCGGGACACCGCAACTGTCATAAATATGAGACAGTGGCTCAGCAGCTTAATTTTGATCACGCGAACATGGGGATGCTGCAACAATTGTTAAGTGTGAAAAACTATCATAACTCACTTTTTTCAGTGCCGTTGCAACTTTGAACAGACACTAAATAAACTGTTGCAAGTCGAGAACTATCCATACACAGAAATATTCTATCAGCTTCCCACTTATATCCATTCATGTTTTTGCCAATGCCAGTTTTCAGAAAAATTACTACTGTGTGTAAAAGCTACCGTATTTTTCAGAGTATAAGACACACCGGAGTATAAGACGCACCTACCTTTTTTGGTGAGGAAAAGAAGAAAAAGAAATCTCCCTCTGCCTCTGCACAATTTTGCCTCCTTCCAGCAAACAGCAAACAGCCTGTTTTACTTTCATTTTCGTTTTCAGCATAGCTTGATTAGCACAAGGGGGGGGGGAATCTGCTCCAGCAATTTACCTTCTTGCAGCAAGCAACAGAGCCTGTGCAAAACATCTGAAAGCAAATCAACTGAGAGTCGGGAGGCCGATCAAATCAACTTGTGCTAATTAGGCTCTGCTGAAGCTGAAAGGAGCTGTTTTTTCTTGTTGTTTGCTTGCAAGGAGGTAACTGCTGCGAGGCAGAGGCCAAAGGGTGGGGGCCAGTGGGTGGGCAGGGCTACATTCGGTGTATAAGACACACCTAAATTTTCAGCCCCTTTTAGCGGGAAAAGGGTGCGTTTTATACTCTGAAAAATATGGTATTTGGATATAACAGGTAAGTTGCTGGTGGTGACCCATTTCCAATTTTTATATACTCCCAGGATGATTTGGGCTTTTCTCTCCCTCTAATCTGCCAAACTAAGTTGTGGCTATAAGGATAATCTAAGATATACACGAGAAGAATTATGCTGAAAGAGTTTACTTTCCAATAGTGCAATGGGATAAATAATGCAACACATGATTTTAAAGAAAAGAGTTCCCCGCGTTGTATTGGCTTCCAATCCTGCTACGTTAACTGTGAAGCACTTTTCTGAAATTATAAAAAAAAGAAAAGAAAATGAACAGCTGGATCCCATTATGTGTGTTACTTAGTTCAGCGATTGATAAGAATTCAGGAGGCAGTTTTGTAAACAGCCACCTGCTCCTTTGTTATCAGCGAAAAGAATTGCCTCCTTGTTGGTTCACAACAAAGCTATTAGAGAGGAACTAAGAGAAACACCGCCAATAATGCACTGGGGAATAAATTAGTTCGACACTCGGAATAAGTCAGTTCTAGAATTCTGGTAATCCTTTTTCATCTTGATAGATGGCGTTAAAGGAGACCCTGTGAGAATCTTGCTTGGAAGAATTACTTTGGGTTGAGGTAGTTGCCAAAGAGCTTGACAATACACTTAATTGTAATATAATACATTTTACAGTATTTAATTTGGTGGAGCACATTGTCTGGTAAGTGTGTATAGGGTATAATTTAAAAGTTGATATAGACAAGTGCACTGATTTATAAAGATGTATGCAGAGCTCTAGGCTAGATTGGAAAGTTAAAAAACACTAGCTGTGATGATGTTACCTACTTTGGGTAATGAGATATCTGCAAAAAATAACAACCACCAATCCTTCTCTTCATCTCTGCACATCCGAATCCCCCTAGCACTGATTATGTTAACTAGTTGGGTAATGAAATGTCTGCAAAAAAAAAAAGAAAAAAACAACCAAGCTCAGAGCACCAAGGACCCCTCATTTCAACCCTGAGCTACAAATATTCACCCTTGTTACTTAAAACACACAACAAATTTATCCCAGAATGACAAATGTGATGTTGCCAAATACTTGCATAGTCCCCAAACTTTATACAGGTATCAAATTGCATGATGTATAAAAGTAGAGTTTAACAATTTAATCTTAATGTTGGAATTGTTTAACCAATATATAACAGAAAAAATTAAGCAAAAATAAAAATAGAAGGAGGATGATCTCTATGAATCTAATAGGCTAGGTCATTGCTTGTGACAATGTATACTAGAGCAATTTTTTTTTTATTTTGAAGATGAACTTACAGGTTTATTAAGCGTATTTTGAAAGAAGCAGCCGGGATGCTGGAACAATCACAAAAGGGCAATGAAACTCTCTTTGCTTCATCCAGCAGGGCTGATCTAAGGAAAGAGTGACGCTCAATGCCAGTTATGAAAATTACACCCTGAAAACTACTGGCAAATGCACTTAAATGATCTAACGAATACAAAAAGAAATCTTTATAGATAATCTGTGGCTCTCGCTTGCCATTTCAAATCTGTGAACTAACTGGGTGGGATTTACCTCTGTGCACTGCAAAGGTTCATTGGATCGCAATACGCCAGCGGTGAGTCATGGTTTTGGAAACAGAAGCGTTTCAACTACAGAATAAACCTTTTTGTCTTTCGTGGCTTATTTCTTGAGTTGGGCTGCTACTGTATATCTTTTAATTTGCCATATGGAAGGAAAGCATTTTTCTTCCTTGACTGGCATGGGGGAGGGAGTTAGATGGGAGCTTCTACAGTGTACATGAACATAACCTGAAAATGAAAGGAGTTACCAGATTAAAATGTCATTAAAATGTCAAAAGATGATACATTACAACTGCACATATATGGAAAAAATCAGAGTTGTGAATATCACAGTAAATTTTTCTTCTTTACTTAATAATTGATCATAACGGCTCTGACATGCCAGCAAAAATGAAGATACTAATCCATTCAGAATGACAGGTTTTGGTCTATTCCTCTGTTTTTAGCAACTTGTGATTATGTTCGCTCTTAACAGCATTGTTTCCTTGAGTAGTAAGTTCTTTTATGCTGAAATAAAACAGTATCATCTCTCTGGGAAAAATGCAAGTGTTCCTCGATTTATGACCACAATTGAGCCCAAAATTTCTGTTGCTAAGTGAGGCTGTTAAGTGCCTCATTTTATGACCTTTCTTGCCACAGTTAAATAAATCACAGCAGTTGTTAAGTTACTGATACAGTTAAGTGAATTTGGCTCCCCCATTGGCTTTGCTTTTGAGATGGTCGCAAAAGTTGATTACATGACCCGGGATACTGCAACCGTCATAAATATGGACCAGTTGCCAAGCATCTGAATTTTGATTACGCGACCATGGAGATGCTACAATGGATTTAAGTGTGAAAACTGGTCACAAGTCACTTTTTTTCGGGTGTAATTTTGAACAGTCACTAAATGAACTGTTATTAAATCGCCAACTACCTGTAACAGGAAAGTATCACAGCACATGATTGGTGGGGACCGTATGGATCTGGACCATGCCTTGGTTAGTTTGGGAATCCACTAATTCTTCCTGGTCAGATTATCTAGCTGTCAGGCCTGGAAGCCACCTTTTGCATTGGATCGTCAGACCTGCCACATTCACTGCTGTGGGGAACTGGGAGGGGGGATTGTATGGAGCAGGGGTGATATGTAGTCATAATAACATTCCTTTCTCAGAGAGTCAAGGACATCTTACCCCGCACCTGGAGGGCTGTGACTGGGAGGCATCTCCAGTTGGGACGGTGCTTGGATTGGATCATGTGATGGACATGTGGGTGTTGAGGGACTTTGGACTTTCTTTTGGGTGGGGAACCCTGACACTAGCCCCTATTTGGGACCCTCCTGCCAGAGTTGTGGGGGTGGGTATCTGTCCCTTACCCTCTTAAGTGGATTGTCCCACTGCTCAACAGTTCTGACCACTAAGAGGTTTCTTTCAGAAGCTGCCTGGATCATTCTGCTTCTAATAGGAAGGCTCTACAGATAGTCCTTGTTTTACAACCGTTTGTTTAGGAACCACTCAAAGTTACAACAGCACTAAAAACTGACCTACATCACACTTGATGATCATTGCAGCATTTCCAAGGCCAATAAGGTAAGATCACCTTTATTGTTACTTTTTTTCTGGGAACACACTGGCACACATTAAAAAATGAAATTCTGGAAAATGAAATTCTGAAAAAAATCAGTGATTTTTTTCAAGTGATCAGAATTGAGGCGCTTGGCAACCAGCATGTAGTTACGATGGTTGCAGCCTCCCAGGGTCAGATGATCACCAGTTGCGACCTTCCCAGCCAGCTTCTGACCAGCAAAGTCAATGGAGGAAGGTCGATTCACTTAATGGCCACATGATTCGTTTAACAACAGCAGTGATTTGCTTAACAGCCATGGCAAAAAACGTTGTAAAATCAGGCGCAACTCTCTTACAATTGATTTGCTTAGCAATGGAAATTGCCAGTACTGGTTTTAAGCTGAGGACTACCTATCTTATTTTTCAGATGCACCCCCCAAAAATACCTCTTTTTAACATCTTTATTCTTCCCAACCCCATCCTTACATACTTGAATTACCTGGATTCCTGCTGAGTCTATTTCCGATACGCATCTTTTTGCTGTTCAGTGAATTTCACAGACTTCTTAAAGCTTTTTGTTTTTCCTTATTATGGGGATCATTTATGCCTAATCTATTTCCCACGTTCTCCCATCCCTCTTCAACTTCTCACTTAGGATTTCATATTTCAATAGGCTGTATGCTTTTTGCCCAGGCTGACTGAAGCTCACCTCTCTGAAGTCTGTGGCTTATTCCGCTCAGCTTTTCTCCCTCTTGAGTCTGAATATCAACACGACCTGCCCACTTCTCCCAGGGCACCTGATACCATCAGGCTACTGATCAGCTCCTCTCTTTGGTCCAAATTAAGTCCAGGGTAGCGGATTCGAGTGTCTCCTTCCCCTTCTGAAAAACACTATTGTCAGCAAGTGAGACATCTGTAGGGCCACTCAAACTCCACTGAGGGGAGTTTATTTTCCAGCTAAAATCAAGGTATTTCATGTCTCCCATTACCACTGTAGCCTGTTTCCTTGAGAACTTGTGAAATGATTTATAAACTGTTTGGCCACATCTCTGCCTGGAGAAGCATTCCTTGATATAAACCATAATTGTATAACCATAATCCATAGTACCGGTACTATTATTTTTGCTTCCAATTACTTTTGGGGCAGGAAACTCTGCTGCTAAGCAATGTGGTCGCTATACAAAACATCACATGACTACAACAGATTGACATCACTTCTCATTTGGTGGTTAAGTGAGTCACTACTCCTGATTGGCAAGCAAGACATGCGACCTTGACTTGCAATTTTACTGTCAGCTTCTCCATTGACTGTTCTTATCAGCAGCCAGTTGTGAAGCAAGCAAATGTCAATCATTGCAGGGTCACTGCGAGAGTCATAAATGCAAGAGCCAGTGGTACACTTATTTTTTCAGTGCCGTCAAGAGTTTTAGATGCTTGCTAAACGGGGCAGCTGTTAAGTAAGACCTTATGTGTTGGAGATAAGAGATGAGATTATCACTGCTTACTGGTCTCTTCACTGCCACATACAGGTAGTTTTTGACTTACGACCACAATTGAGCTCAAAATTTTCATGCTAAGCAAGGCAGTTAAGTGAATTTTGCCCCGTTTTATGACCTTTCTTGCAGCTGTTAAGTGACTCACTGCAGTTGTTAAATTAGTAAGTGAATCTGGCTTTTCCATTGGTCAAAAAGTTGCAAAAGGTGATTACATAACTCTGAGACAAAAATACATGCCAATTGTCAAGTATCCGAATTTTTTTTCTTTTTAACTTTAAAGATACCAAATCAGTTATATAGTCCAGTCCAAATTAAACAATACTTTCCCCCCACCCTTTTTTTCTCCTTTATCTTTAAATATAGAGCACCTGTGTTGCAGAGCTTAATATCCAATTGTCTTTTATTTTTCTTAGTCTTCAACAAGAAAGGATCTATTTATTTTCTTTCCAATCCTTTAGTCAATTTTGGGGTTATTTCTTCTTATTCTTAAAATTTTCCAGTTAATTTTATTCAAAAATCAATTTTCTTTTCAGGTTTTGGTCCCTTTAAATTCCGCTTACATCCTCTTTTCTTCCCCCATGCCCGTTAGCCGCTAGTTTTACGCTGGGGGTTTCAGGTTTTAAAATATTTTTTTTGTTGTTTTTATTTCGCCAATGGGTTGGCTGTCACTCACCCGGCTTCAAAAACTCTGTTGCATTCATCGCTCCTGCTCAATACTTATTCCAGTTGCCCCAGCTTCTTGACAGCCGCAATGGCTGCCACCTCCACCACCGAATCAGAGAGAGATTCCTCTGACCTTCGAGGAACTTGCCTGTTCCTCTTGGTCTTCCGAGGTGTCTCTCCTTCCCCGTCCCTACAGGATGGTCCTGGTCCGAAGACCCCTCGGCAGCGGTTTGTCAGTCCGGGTTTTCACAGAGATCATCAGAACCCACTAATTCCCCGACTGTCTTGCCGCGACGCTTCCCAAGTATCCGAATTTTGATGATGTGAACGTGGGGATACTGCAACAGTTGTGTGAAAAATAGCCATGTCACTTTTTTCAGTGCTGTTGTTACTTTGAACGGTCACTAAAGAAATGTTTGTAAGCACTACCTCTATTAAGAATTTTAACTTTTGCTTTGTCTTGCATAGCCTTATTATGATGGTATGAAGCCATGTTCCTAGTGTCCAAGACTTTTCATGGTCCATATTTCTTTTTCCCCTCATCCTTTTTCAGTTTAGCCCTCCTGATAAGATTCCCAAAGCTCTTGCCAAACATGTTCTCCTTCCCCATATGAGCTGTAGTTCATTTCTGGCTAAAGTCTCTTATACTATTGATGAGAGTTGGTCTAAGAACCTCAGATTTTATACAAATTTCTTAATTATCTATTCACTTTCAGGATCTTGCTTTCTTGCAAAAAAAAAAACCCTCTTACTTTCACACCCAGCCTCTTTACTTCCTACTCGACTTTATATTTAAACCAGTGTTTCTCAACCTTGGCAACTTTAAAACATGTTGGCTGGGGAATTCTCGGACTGATGTTCACAAGTAATTGTCCTCTTCTAGCTATAATGCATGTCCACAAATGGGAGTGTATTGCAATTAGTAGTTTTGATGTGGCTCAGTAGTCTTTCCACTTCATCTGGAAGCACTCATCAGAAAGACAGCTCATATCCTACAAGATATAGTTGCTCCTACCCCTCTCAATATCTCACTAGCACTCTTCCTTTCTTCTCATTGAACTTTTTGTTGATTCCTTTGTAGTTGAGAATCATTTACACATTTATACTATTCTGTATGTGTCAGGATGCTAAGATTACACCATATGAAACTCACATTATGCTCACAGTATGTTCACCACTTTGAGTTATGTATATAAAGAAAAACAGAATAAGAATTTTGTTATATAATTATATTTTTTGTATTAATTGGTTTTAATATTTTTCGTTTGGGTTATTTTGTTGTGTTGTTTTAGATTAAACCAGAGACTATTGACACATATAAAATATAAGATTTTTTTTGTTCTTAGTTTGTATTTGTATTTTTTAAATTTTTAAAGATTAAAATCTGTTTTGTAACAAAAATGATACTAAATTTTAAAATTGTACTGTTTTGTGTTTTTAATTATGTATGCCATTCAGATTCTCATATGGTGAGATGGGCAGCTATATAAATTTCCCAAATAAATAAGCAATTCAAATTTATATAGCCACCCTCCGCAGTGATATATGGCTCTGGGCAGCTTAGAAACAATGAAAAAGAAAATATAAACAATAAAGAATAAGACAACCGTTTAAAAACATGGGAAAATGCATATAAAAACACATTTTAAAAAGCTTCATAAAATAAATAAAACTCACAACTATTGTGCATTATTTATTTCATAGGATTTCTCTTTTGACAAAGGAAAGGAAGAACAAGACCAAAAGTAGAGAACAAAATAACAGAGTTGAAGGAGACCTTGGAGGTCTTCTAGTCCATCCTCCTGTTCAATCTTTTCTTAAAAACCTCTAGTGATGGAGCACCCACAACTACTTCTGAATGCAAGCCATTTTACTGATTAATTATTCTGTTAGGAAATTTGTCCTTATTTCTAGCTTGGTTCTCTCCTGGATTAGTTTGCATCATTTCTTCTTGTCCCCCTCTTCTTTGTGCTGGACTAAGAAGAGTGCAGAGACCTGGGTTCAAGTCCTCACTTTGCCATGAATTATCCCTGGGGGATTCAAGGTCAACCTACTGATGGGGTGGTGGGGAAAGTGCTGCACTAGGTTGGATGCAGTACAATTTGGAGTGCGGCCTTACCTTGCAGTATAAAGCGGTACTAACACTTCACATATTCTTAAAACTATCCTGTTATTGATGCAGCCTGCATTTGTATTTTTTTCTTGCCTAAGTGTAAACCCTTATTTTTCTCCCATTGAATTGCCTTTTGTTGGATAGCCGCCGTGTTTAAGTCTGTTACGATCCTTCTGAATCTTCAGCCCATTTTCTGGAGTGTTGGCTATTCCCACCAACTTGGTGACATCTGCGAATTTGACGATTTCCCCTTCTATCCTCTACTGCAGGCTACTTCTGCTGACTGCCAGCTGCCTGCAGTTTGGCAGTTCGAGTCTCACAAGGTTCAAGGTTGACTCATCCTTCCGTCCTCCCGAGGTCGGTAAAATGAGGACTCAGATTGTTGGGGGCAATAGGCTGGCTCTGTAAAGCAGTATATAAGTCTGAGTGCTATTGCTATCTTCTTTCCTTCCTTCCCAATGGTTACAGTATTGCAGGCTAACTCTGTCCAGAGTCAGCAGTTCGAGTCTCACCAGGCTCAAGGTTGACTCATCCTTCCGTCCTCCCGAGGTCGGTAAAATGAGGACCCAGATCGTTGGAGGCAATAGGCTGGCTCTATAAAGCGGTATATAAGTCTGAGTGCTATTGCTATCTTCTTTCCTTCCTTCCCAATGGTTAAAATACAGTATTGCAGGCTAACTCTGTCCACAGTCAGCAGTTCAAGTCTCACTAGGCTCAAGGTTGACTCATCCTTCCATCCTCCTGAGGTCGGTAAAATGAGGACATAGATTGTTGGGGGGCAAGATGTTAACATTTGTAAACCGCTCAGAGAGTTCTGTAAAGCACCTGTAAAGCAGTATATATGTCTTATTGCTACTGGAAGGGTACTGGGCCCAAGAGAGAACCTTGGGACACAGCTCCATTGAGTGCAGTTTGTCAACCAAGTTGAGTTGCTAAGAACTGACTAGGTGGCTCAGTGGCTAAGACGCTGAGCTTGTCGATCATAAAGGTCGGCAGTTCGAATCCCTAGAACAGGCCTCCTGTGTGAGCAGGGGGTTGGACTAGATGACCTCCAAGGTCCCTTCCAACTCTGTCACTGTTTAGTTAAGCCCTTGAAGGAAAGGCGGGGCGGAAAAAGGCGGCGAGCCTGCGGGGCTAAAGCGACGAGAGATCCGGCCTCGAGCTCCGCCCGGCCTACCTCACAGGGGTGTCGTGGTGGCGGCGGGCGGAAGCAGGAAGACGGGGAGCATCTCGCGGCTCCGAAATAATAAAGGAGCCTTCACAGCTCGCGCGGCCTGCCCGGAGCGCGACGCCCACTGAGAGGCCGACCGCGATACAACAACGTCCAATTTTTACCTCAGACGTTGGCGGGAAAAGGCACCGGAAGTGGCGACGCCTTTTTCGCGCGGTCCCGCCCCTCCTCGCGCGTCCTTTCTGTTAAGCCCGGCCCCCTTCCCCGGCGACGGCCAATCAGAGGAACAGGAAGGAGGGCTGCCCGGCAACGGGAGGCGGGACGACGACGACGACGGGGCCCCGCTTCCTCGCGGAGATGTTGCGGACGGAGAAGGTGCTGCTGCTGCGGAGCCTTCAAGGCCGCTCCGTGCGGGTCGTGCGCGAGCACTACCTGCGTCCCGACGTGCCCTGCGGCAGCGCCCTCTGCCAGGCGGGCTGTCCCCGCGGTGCGTTGAGAGCGGGGGCGGAGCTTCGTGGGGGCGGGGCCGCGGCTCAGGTGGGGGTAGAGTCGTGTGAACGCCGTTCGCGGCCTTCCCTTGTGTGGGCGGGGCTTACGAATGCGAGGGAGGGGCCAAGGAGGGGCGGAGCCAGGAGTGGGGTTGGCCTATGTCTGTGTCATGTCAAAATATTAGCGGCACGTAGGGAGAACGTGTGAACACGTGTCGGGTGGGAAAGATGCGTGTAGTGGGACGAACTTGCTGCTGGTGCCGAGAGCTCTTTATTTCAGGCCCGCTGAAGGAGCTCAGTGTCCAATGGAGGGAGGGAATCTAAAGAGAACGTTGAAAGCTGAAAGTTTGTATGTTAAGCCAAAGAAGAAGACAGATTAAAGTTTTCATTTAAAGAGAGAAAAGAAAAAAGTGGGGTTTTTTTTCTTTCTTGTTTTTTTTTTAAGTTTAGTACTTTGAAAGAAAAAGGTGAAAAAAAAAGGCTTTTCCCCCCCTCCCCTTTTTTTCAGTCAGGTCAAAGAATTTGAAAGAAGTACCATGAATTTTGTAAATAAAAATGGTGACAGTTCACAAAGACTTACTAGGTGCAAATAAGAAATACGCATTATTTCCATAGCAATGGAATGGTTAAAATTATTTTATTTTATTCAAAGAGGTAAATTTGTTTTCATTTGGATGTCACTTCTGGATTTTGTGCTTGCGAAGGGGGGGAAAAAATGAAACGGCTTCATTACTTCTCATTGAATGTGAAAGGGATTCAGGGGAAGGAAAGTCAAAATGTATAAATGCATTAAAAATATAGGCTGCTAAAGTAACTTTCTTAGTAGAGAGTGAGTTGCCTTTTCTTTCCAAGCAACACATGATTAGGCCCAATCAAGCAAATGGGAAGAATTTATTCCACGTTTTCATGGTAGCTTTCAAGAAGGAGAAGGCTTCATGCCCAGCAGAAAGTAGAGAAAGGATCAGATTTAAAATGTTGTTTTTTGCACAGTTAAGAGGGCAGGAAGGGCCTTGCAAGCTGTGTAGGTTGAATCCAGGAAAAATAGAATAGAATAGAGTAGAATTCTTTATTGGCCAATTGTTATTGGACACACAAGGAATTTGTCTTGGTGCATATGAGTAGAGTAGAGTAGAGTAGAACAGAACAGAACAGAACAAAACAGAATTCTTTATTGGCCAAGTGTGATTGGACACACAAGGAATTTGTCTTGCTGCGTACGCTCTCAATGTACATAAAAGAAAAGGTACATTCGTCAAGAATCATAAGGTACAACACTTAATGATAGTCATAGGGAAACAGTGAATATAAATCTTAAGGATACCAGCAACAAGGTTACAGGCATACAGTCATAAGTGGGAGGAGGAGGAGATATATGTATACATGATATACATATGTTTTCTTTTCTTTTCGTAGGCCTTTATGTGTATTTCTCTTGAGCCAGGTTCTTCCTACGTAAACCAAGATTTTTATGCAGCCCTAGTTCAGTGAAATCCCAATCCACTAGTTTCTAGGCTTTTTTTCTTCAGGCAGCAGCAAGGACCCTGCTGCCCATTGGGAGACCAGTGCATACATACATACATACATACATACATACATACATACATACATACATATATATATATATATATACATATATATATATATACATATACATAATATCAAGTATACATGAATCAGGCATAAATTAGCTTTAAACTACAGGGAGTCCTCAATTTGCAACCACAACCGAGTCCCAAATTTCTGTGGCTAAAGGAGACATTTGCTAAGTGAGTTTTCTCCCATTATATGACCTTTCTTGCCCCATTGTTAAGTGAATCACTGCAGTTGATTAGCTAGTAACCTAGTTTTTAAGTGAATCTGGCTTCCCCATTGAGTTTGCTTGTCAGAAGATCACAAAAAGGGATCACAAGACCCCAGGACACTGCAACTGACTTAAATATGAGTCAGTTGCCAGGAGTCTGAATTTTGATCACATGACCATGGGGGTGCTGCAAGGGTCATGTGTCGTGTGAAAAATGGTCAAGTCACTTTTTCCAGTGCCACTGTAACTTTGAATGGTTTTTAAATGAACTGTTTTAAGGACTACAAGTACCAGGTGTTTTACCTGTAACAGGCATGCGCTAAGAAGGCCTATAAAAATCCTCCTTTGAGAGCGTTGCCTGCTTAGCTGGCAGTAATGAATTCTCCTTGTGAAGCTGGTCCTTCTCTGGAGGTGGGGGAGCCCCTTAAATCTCCAGGTGATAAATTTGAATTCCAAGGTTGATTGGAACAACCATACCAGAAAGATTCTCACCCATATACGACCTCACTTCAGTTTTGTGAAAATTAAAAGCTGTTAGAAAATGTTAAAAATTACATGGAATATCCAAGTTTCCCCCTGTTTTTCCCCACCACAATTGAATGCAAAATTAAATAAATTTCTTTGCCTTTGTCCTTAAAAATAAATGAGTTAGTAACTAGCTGGTAGTTGGCATTTACTAATAAAATAGATACTTGTTATTAATAAAATTATTTCCAGGTAGGCTATGCAGTCCCTTTCTGATAGAAAAGGTCAGGGGAGAATGACATAAGAATGTCTCCCTAGGACTAAATGTGATATGTCAAAGGCAGTTTTTTCCTTCATCTCTGCTTAAGGATGAAAAAGGATATCCTAAAAGAATATCATTCTACCATTTTCATGGGGTATTTTATTCAATTTCTCAGTTTGCATACCCTGTTGCAACTCTTGCTCTAAACTTGAATGCTGTGAGCAGTATGTCTGCTTTTAATTTTTCATTAAAGAGCATGGGGAAGCTCTTTATTGATACAGGTATTCCCAAAAAATGAAGTTTAGTTTGAAGGTTAGCACCTTGTCTCTGACTCTTTAAAGCAGCTGCATCATTTAGTAGGATTGACTCCCACAGCCCAGGATAAATGCAGTTGCTTTAAATGCCACGTGCTGCCCTTGTGGGTTTCAGTGCAAAATTTGGGATTGAATCCAAAAGGCTACTCAGCCCCAGAAGAATTTTAAACCTCAGTTGTGCTTGTAGCCAAACCCTCCCATTTTGTGGGCGATGGCCTTGAGGCGCCCATCGACAGCAGAATAAATTTTCTCCCCTCCCCCAAAAGGATGATTGTTAAGTGGAAATACTGGCTTCAATATTATTGTTTAGGTCAGTGATGGCTAACTGGACCAAGTTCCCTAAAGTGCAAGCAAGCTCACGCCTGAACCCCCAAAATGTAATGTTCGTGGGCTCCCCGTTCATGCACCCCACTCCCACACACGTGCATGTGCCCCTGCACATGTGCACGCCCCGCATGAGCCCCGCACCCACGAATGTCCCCCCTGCAAGCACCCAGCCCCCCACTCGTGCGTGGCAGAGACTCGAAGATCAGTTGGCCAGTGGGAGGCGCGCACGCATGCGCAGCAGAGTTGAACTGGGGTGACGGCTTCTGTGCTGTCAGAGGGCGCTGCATGCCACCTCTGGCACCCGTGCCATAGATTCGCCATCATGGGTCTAGGTGTAACTCCATGACTTCAATGCCAGTAATCATTGCCCTACTATTACTTTCCATTTGTCATTCATTTTTTAAAAAAAACCAGAAGTCATTGCTAATCATGTTCTCCCCTGCTCCATTCCCAGGAACTGGTCTCCCTTTCTAAGTTTTTGTAAGTTAAAAACTGCATAATTTCCCCCTACTGTACACTTTTAAACCTTACCTACTCTCCCTTCTTCAACTGTTTTCCCCTATCCCAGGGGTCGGCAACCTTAAAACACTCAAAGAGCCACAAAGTTCCTAACTGGAAGCCCCCCATTCAATTCTGGAGCCGACCGGAAGTCTAGTTCCCCCCACTATAGAGTCTCCTCCTAGCGCAGCATCCTTTTTCCTCTACCTGTCCTACCGAAAGCCCTATCAATTGTGGAGCCGACCGGTGACAGGGAGCCGCAGCAGAGGGATGAAAGAGCCACATGCGGCTCCAGAGCCGCAGGTTGCTGACCCCTGCCCTATCCCGCTTTAAATTGTAAATTAAAACGGGATAAATTAAATTCATCCCGTTTTAAATTGTAAATCCCTCAGGATTCCCCTACCTGTCGTTCGTCTTACCTGACAACATATTTATACATATTGTTAAATTTTGGTTTTATTGCTTCAGATGGGAAATTGCTGTCCGATGATGTCACTCACTATGTTGTGCCTGACTGGAAGGTGCTTCAAGATTACCTGGAGATTCTGGAATTCCCTGAGCTGAAGGGGCTGGTTTTCATGCAGACAGCATGTCAAGCAATGCAGCAGCAAAGAGGACGCAGGTATCCGGTCTTCTCCAGGAGGGTTAATTTACAGGCCAATGCAGTCCTAGGTTCAGTGGTGGGTTGCTCCCGGTTCGCACCGGTTCACAAGAACCGGTAGTAAAAATTTGAAGTAGTTTGGAGAACCGGTAATAACATTGGCTGGCCACGCCCCCGAACCAGTCCCCGGCCCGGTCGCCGCTCGCTTACCCCGCCCACTTCATCAGAGGCTTTTTTTTTTTTTACTTTTAAATTTTTTTCTACAACCTCTTCGGCCGAAAAAAATGCTTTTAAAAGTAAAAAAAAGCCTCTGATGATCGCGTGGCTCAGCTGGGATCATCAGAGGCTTTTAAAAGCATTTTTCTACAACCTCTTCAGCTGAAGAGGTTGTAGGGGGGAAAAAATGCCTTTAAAAACTTCTGGCGATCCCAGCTGAGTTGCCTGATTGTCAGAGGCTTTTAAAAGCATTTTTTTTCTGCAACCTCTTAAGGTTGTAGAAAAAATGCTTTAAAAGTTAAAAAAAAAAAAAAGTTGGCCATGCCCACCCAGTCACATTCCCCCCCCACCAAGCCACGCCCACAAAATAAGCCATGCCCACAGAACCGGCAGTAAAAAAATTTAGAACCCACCCCTTCCTAGGCTGCATTAACGGGCAGTTTCAAGTTCATGTGATATGATAGTACTCTTTATTTATGTTATTTATTGATTTATCAAACTTCTTAACTGCCCATCTCCCTCACAAAGGGACTGTTTGCTGCACTAGTGATGCCACATTTGGAGTCCTCAACTTACAACCACAACCGAGCCCAACATTTAAGTTGTTAAGTGAGACATTTGTTCAGTGAGTTTTGCCCTATTTTATGACCTTTCTTGCCACGTTTGTTAAGCGTTGAAGTTAGCAACACGGTCGTTGAGTGAATCTGGCTTCCCCATTGACTTTGCTTGTCGGAGGGTTGCAAGAGGTGATCATGTGATCCCGGGAGACGGCAACCGTCATAAATGTGAATCAGGTGCCAAGCGTCTGAATTTTGATCATGTGACCATGGGAGGCTGCAACAGTCATAAGTGTGAAAAATAGTCAAGTCACTTTTTTCCGTGCCGTTGTAACTTTGAACGGTCACTAAATGAACTATTGTAAGTCGAGGACTACCTTTTCCTGTGTCCAGTTCTGGTCACCATCATACACAAAAAGATGTTGAGACCCTAGAAAGGGTGCAGAGAAGAGCAACCAGGATGTTGAGGAGACTGGAGGCTCAAACATACGATGAATGGTTGCAGGAACTGGGTCTAGCTAGTCTAGTGAAGAGAAGGACCAGGGGAGACAGGATAGCATCTTCCAATATTTGAGGGGCTGCCACAGAGAGGAGGGGGTCAAGCTATTTTCCAAAGCACCTGAAGGCCAGACAAGGAACAATGGATGGAAACTGATCAAGGAGAGATTCAACCTGGAAATAAGGAGAAATTTTCTGACCGTGAGAGCAATCAACCAGTGGAACAGAAGTTCCCTTCGGAAGTTGTGGGAGCTTCATCACTGGAAGCTTTCAAAGAAGAGACTGGACAGCCATCTGTCAGAAATGGTGTAGGGTCTCCTGGGGGTTGGACTAGATCAGGGGTCCCCAACCTTTCGGACCTCAGGGACCACTAAATTCATAATTTTAAATCTTGTGGACCACTAATAATATGATCTGCCTAAGGACCGGCTGGGTGGGCGTGGCTAGGTGGTCATGTGACTCGGTGGGCATGGCCAACTTGATGTCACTCAGATTGAGGGGTGCTTTGCCGGCCTCTGCTTGCCCCTCCCCTCCCAGCCACTCCTCGCCTCCCCATCCAGGCTCCTTAGGGCCCCAACGGGAAGCAGTAGTTGGAGCTGAGCAGCCACCACGAGAAAAAGTTGGCAAAACAGCTCAGTTCAAATTGGATCTCACCAAGAAGGAGGCCCAGCAGAAGCACCTCACTGAGCACTAGGAGCATAGGCTTTCCAAGCAGAGGGAAGACCTGTGGGAGTACAAGGCTTCTGGAGGCTCAGCGGGCTGAGATGGTCAGCCAGTTCCAGGCCTGATGCAGTCCCACTGGAACAAGGCCCTCCGGCTCTTTACCACCATTGTTTCCAGTTGCTTTTCACCAAGATCCAAGCAGGGTGAAGGTGTTGGAATAGTGGCTAAAGAAATCCAGGTTCAGCATTGCCGTCAGCCACAGAAATTCAGTGCTGTTCCTCAGCCCAACCAAGGGCTGACCAGGTGGTTGTTGGGGGGGGGGAAGGGGGGGAGCAGGAGGGGGTTGCTTTGAGCTCCTGAAGGAAAGGCAAGATGTAAATCCAACGTCTTCTGTCACTTCAGTTTTCACCTACAATTGATGGTTGTTTGTGTTTCCACATCTAGACCCCTAAGCTAAAGTACCTGCGTTCATTTGCGATCTGTGATACAGGTGATGATGAAGAAAAACATGCATGCATCAATCAATCCATCCATCCATAATATACTGCTAATAAAATGGGGAAAAAAATGAAGATTTGCAGGCCCTTCTGTATTTAATCTGCCTTGCAAATTAATAGACATGCTTAAAATCTCATATTCCTTCAGACTTCAGTTTGCAGATTTATTTCAGATTTACAGTGGCATTGGAAAAGCCAAGATATACAGAATAAACTCTAAAAAGTATACTGTAGTCTCTTTTTTAAAAAAAAATCGATTGCAAAGGTTAATAATATGCCTTGGCGATTATATGAATACATCCGTGCTCTAAATACCCTTGAGACCTGAAAGGTTAATCAGGGATTTTTTTTTCTAGCCGACATTAATTATAGCATCATTATCTATGAATATATTTCAGAGGTAATGGAGGCTTCTAATTGAAAGTCATAATACAGAAAGTTAATAAAAATGTTTAAAATCTTTCTGCCCCTGGTATGTTTGTTCATTTTTTTTTTACTGTCAGACCCTCCCTGGATTGTGAAAATAATTCCATGTTATGCCTGTAAAATACATCTTAATTTTTTTCATTCTTGACACACAATCTGCCATTTGCCTCCCCGCGCGACCTTCCTGCAGTCTGACAGATGGGGGTCAAATATTCCTCACTGACTTGGAAGACCCGAGTGCAATGGCATATTTCAGCGGCGTAAATGAATTATTTTTGACTGACACTTTATTCACATAAATTCTTATGCATAGTTTGAATATTTAAGATTTGGAATACAATACTCTTTTATTTAGAAATTATGTCTTAACGTTGCATTTTTATGAGCTTTCAGTGGTGTTGCCAAAATAAGTAGATGAAGATGGATGAACTAGGCCAGTGATGGCGAACCTTTTTGGCACTGTGCCCAAACCGGAACTTGTGTGCATGTGTGTGTGTCCTTGTGTGGACCCGACCAATCGGGTTACTTGGAACCCTGATAGCATGTATGTACATGCACCGGAGCACAGGAAACCCGAAGACCAGCTGGCCGGCGCATGCATGCCTGTTTTTTGGCCATTTTTCAGGCTGTTTTTCGGGCCCAAGAAACAGCTCAAAAACAGCCAGAAAAAGGCCCAGAAAAGGCCCAAAAAACAGCCTGAAAATGGCCCCCAAAATAGCCCAGAAATGGCCTGTTTTTTGGCTGTTTTGGGGGGCATTTTCAGGCTGTTTTCCCACGAAGAGCAGCTGGTGATGGCGTGCGTGCCCACAGAGAGGGCTCTGGTGTGCCACCTCTGGCATGCGTGCCATAGGTTGCCATCATGGAACTAGGCTTTTACCAATAGCAATAGCACTTAGATCTATATACTGCTTCATAGTCACCTCCCGCCTGGACTATTGCAACGCTCTCTACATGGGGCTCCCCTTGAGGAGCACCCGGAGGCTCCAACTGGCGCAGAGTGCGGCCGCGCGGGTGGTAATGGGAGCGACATGGCGCTCCCATGTAACATCTCTCCTGCGCGAGCTGCACTGGCTCCCGGTGGTCTTCCGGGTGCGCTTCAAGGTTTTGGTTACCACCTTTAAAGCGCTCCATGGCTTAGGACCTGGGTACTTGCAGGACCGCCTACTACCACCAATAGCCTCCCACCGGCCGGTACGCTCCCATAGAGAGGGGCTCCTCCGGGTGCCGTCGGCCAAACAATGCCGACTGGCGGCCTCCAGGGGGAGAGCCTTCTCTGTGGAGGCACCTACTATCTGGAACGAGCTCCCCCCGGAGATACGGAGGATCCCGGATCTGCGCACCTTCCGCCACGCTTTAAAGACCTTATTATTTCACCAGGCGGGCCTGGCCTAATTTTCTCCCTCTTTTATAGAAGATTTTTGATTTTTAAATATCTTTTAGTATTTTATATATTCAATTTTAAAATTGGTTTTAAATAGTTTGGGGTTTTAAATTTGTCGGGGCCAAAATTATTTAATTTGATTTTATTCTACTTTTAAATTTTGTATGTATGTGTTTTATTGTTTGGCTGTGCACCGCCCTGAGTCCTTCGGGAGTAGGGCGGTATAGAAATCAAATAAAAGATAAAGAAAGATAAAGATAGTGCTTTTACAGCCCTCTCTAAGCAGTTTACAGAGTAGGCAGCCTCTTGCCCCCAACAATCTGGGTCCTCATTTTACCAATCTCGGAAGGAGGGAAGGCTGAGTCAACCTTGAGCCTGGTGAGATTCGATCTGCTGAACTGCAGCTAGCAGTCAGTTTAAGTAGCCTACAGTGCTGCACTCTAACCATTGCGCCACCTCAGCCCTAATCTTTAATAGGCTCTAATCTCTTTTAAACTTGGGTGGGTCTGCTAGTGAGTTGGGGGACCTTTAAGAATCCTCAGATCTCAGCTTCTCTTCCCCAATGAAGTGGGGGGTGGGGGCGAGGAAGCCACTGTCCTTACTTTGGCTGTGGGACCCTGAAGAAAAGTGAGCTTAGGTAAGGCAGGGGCGATGGGACCCAGCAATTATAGAATTAGCAGGAAACATCGGTTGCAGGAGGGTTTGTGGAGTGCCACGTGCTTTGGGTGCTTCGTAGCTTTGGGTCTGTTTGTTGAGTCAAAGTGCTGGAATGTAATTTAAATTATGCTTCTCCCACATTCCCATTCTGTTACTTTTACATATGGAATTGCACATAGAATCATAAGGCTGCAAGGGACCTCAGGGGTCCTCTAGTCCAGCCCCCTGGCCAAGATCATAGAGTCGTAGGGCTGGAAGGGATCTTGGAGGTCTTCTAGTCCAACCCCCTGGCCAAGGCAGGAGAACTTGTTTCATACAGGACAAATGGGTGTCTATAATCTTTTCTTGAAGACCTCCAGGGATGAAGCACTCACAACTCCAGGGAAGCAAGCTGTTCCATTGACTAACTGTTCTCACTATCAGGAAATTCCTCCTTCATCCTTTCTTTAACAAGGTAGCATTGGACAGGATGGTGGAGGCTGTCCTACCTGAGCAAGAGGTTGGACTAGAAAACCTTCAAGGTCCCACCCTATATTTATTTTCTTTTGAGAGCAGGCATCAGAATTTCATTTTTTAACGTGTGCCAGTGTGTTCATAGAAAAAAGTGAAATAAAGCTTATCTTTATCTTGTCTTGTCTTTATCTGTCTTTGCCTTTGTCTTATCTTATTATTCTATAATTGTTCTATAATTCAGAATTTTGAAGCTTCCAACTGGTACCCAACAAGTGAATATGTTTACATAGATTAGGGCAGCTCTCCCCAGACCAGACACCCTCCAAATACGCAGAGCAACCCCAGGATTCTCAAAAAGACCCTCTGCCTGGGGGAAATTTTGCAATCTGCATCTTGAAGGGAAGCCCCAGTAAAGGAAGGCTGGCCCAGAAACCTCTCTGGTGCTTTTGTTGGCAAGAAAAGCTGGCTGCGCCTTCATTTACTGACGATTCGGTTGGATTTAAATTGATTTCATTTCATTTATGGTATATGACTGCCCGTTTACAACTACAGGTAGTCCTCGACTTATAACCATGATTGAGCCCCAAATTTCTGTTGCTAAGTGAGACATTTGTTAAGTGACTTTTGGCCCATGTTACGACCTTCCTTGCCACATTTGTTAAGTGAATCCCTGCAGTTGTTAAGTTAGTAACAGGTTGTTAAGTGAATCTGGCTTCCCCATTGACTTTACTTGTCAGAAAGTTGGATTGCATGACCCAGGGACACTGTGACCGTCATAAATACGAGTCAGTTGCCAAGCGGCTGAATTTTGATCCCATGACCACGGGGATGCTGCAACGGTCCTAAATGTGAAAAACAGTCATAAGTCACTTTTTTTCAGTGACATTGTAACTTCAAACGGACATTAATTGAACTGTTCTAAGTCGAGGACTACCTGTACATGACTCTGAGCGGCTCATTGCATTAGTGGACTCAGTCAGACACTTTTCAAAATGTGCCCAGCTGCAGCCTCGGCTGGCAGGAACAGCCCTTCCATTGACCTCACAGATTGGCAGGCAGAAGAAGCTGCTGGCCTTCTCGTTGGCAGGCAAAGCAGGGCAGGGAAGGGATGCCCAGGCAGGGATGGGTGGGGTGGCCGGTGAAAACACCTGACCAGCCACCTGCTCCTCACCAAAGTTGTTGATGCCCTCCGATAAATCACTGCCATAAAATGAAAGGCAAATATAAAACAGAGCACAGAAGAAAACACATTCAGGCCACCTTGTCACATTACATAATTCCTTTGATATAGCTGTTCAATAATTTCAAGATTCTACGTTGTTTCTTTAAAAAAAAAAACACTCTGCCACTGCTGTTCTTAGCATAGTTTAACATAACATACTATCTGAAGGTCTGTGTATATATATAACCAGATCTCCTGGCAGCAAAAGGCTGCAAATGATTTGAGCAGGAAAGTCTAAATATGAGGCATGGCTGTTTCGGGTCTTAAATAATAAAAGTTGTTCTCTGTCAAACCGTCTCTTGTCTTCTGCTTCTTCTACAGGCACTACAATAAACTGCGGAATTTAGTGAGGGATGCCCGCCGCGATTGCATTATATTTTTTAATGAATTCCAGCTGCTTTCTTATTTGCCACGAGAGCGGGGAGAATCGCTGGAGAAATGGCAGACCAGGTACTTGCTCCACATAACGCGGCCCTGAGCAGTGCAGCTTTGGCTCAGCTTTGGTGACACCTTCATTGGTCTTCAGGCTGCCCAGCCCTGGCCTGGCCTGACCTGGCCTAGGGGTGGGGGTGATCATTGTCTTATACAGGGAGTCCTTGACATTTGTGAAGTGAGTTTTGTCCCATATTTCCACTTTTCTTGCCAAAAGAGCCTTGGTAGTACAGTGGTCTAAGGCACCCTGTTATTAACATTCAGCTGCCTACAATTACTGCAAGTTCGAATCTCTCCAGGCTCAAGGTTGACTCAGCCTTCCATCCTTTCAAAGGTAGGTGAAATGAGGACCCAGATTGTGGGGGCAATAAGCTGACTTTGTATAAATATACAAAAGGATGAAGGCTATTGCTTAATGCACTGTAAGCCGCCCTGAGTCTCCAGAGAAGGGCGACATATAAATCAAATAAATAAATAAAAAAAAAAGAATTGCAAGTGAATTCTTGCAATTCACTTTGCTAAGTGAATTATTGCAGGTGTTAAATTAGTAACACGGTTGTTGAGTGAATCTGGCTTCCTCGTCGACTCTGCTCGTCCGAAGGTCACAAAAGGGGATCACGTGACCCCCCCGGGACACTGCGACCGTCATAAATGCGAGTCAGTGGTCAAGCATCCAAATGTAAATCACGTGACCCTGGGGATGCTGCCACGGTCGTAAGTGTGAAAAACTGTCATAATTCACTTTTTTCAATGCCGTTGTAACTTTGAACGGTCGCTAAATGAACCATCATAAGTCGAGGACTACCTCTATTCGAACAAAGCACAATTGAGAACGGCCTACCTGGATCTGACTGGGGAGACACAGTAATACGATGTGCGTTTTCTTGCATTTAGGTGTTCTACTCTGTTTTTCACATACGGTCTTATTCACTGTCCCCTATTTTATATTCTGCTAAAATATATTCGGATGAGACCTAATCAATCAAGTATTTCAGTAAAGTAATGTGGAAGGAGCTCCCTTTAGTGTTGATCAGTGAACCCTTGAAGGACTGACTGCGTAGACTTAAATCAGTGTTTCTCAACCTTGGTAGCTTGAAGATGGGTGGACTTCAACTCCCAGAATCCCCCAGCCAGCAGCGCTGGCTGGGGGATTCTGGGAGTTGAAGTCCACCCATCTTCAAGCTACCAAGGTTGAGAAACACTGACTTAGATGCTTGTGGCATGTTTTCAAACGGCAGACGATTAAGTCGTACAAACGGCGGGATCAGAGCAAAAGGAGAAGATGTAACATGACATCCAAAGATAAATGTGATCGCTGATTCTCCTAGGAGTATTTACAACGCCTCCGTGTGGTACTATAATCACTTCTCGGGCCAGATGCCCATCGTCATGGTAACAGAGGACGAAGAGGCTGTACAACTGTTCGGAAGTGAAACGGAAGGCGTCTTTGTGATCTCATTCAAGGTAAATGCCTTTTGTGCTGTTCTTTTGTGTGTCGACTTGCGACTGGTCGTTTAGTTACTTTGGGGATACTGGATTCAGAGTTCTGATGGCTGCCCCCGCCAACACCCCACCAAACTTGAGATGCCCGGCATCGCAGCCATATTTAAGGCCGTTTGAAGCATCCCATGTTCACATGATCATGTTTTTATTCATTTAATTTATTTAGAAAATGTATATTACCACCTACTCGCACGTGGCAACTCAAGGTGGCTTACAAGGATATAAAAACACAATATAAAAGAAAAATAATAAAAAAAGAAAATAATAAAATAATAACACACACACCCAACCTCCCCCCCACGCCGGCGACAACACACATTCATACACCAGTTTTGATTAAAACTGGCACTTCTGATTTTGGTTTTCACCTAACCATGGTGGCATTCACTAAACAATTGTTGCAAAAAAAAAAAAGTTGTAAAAAAGTCCTGTGACCTACCAATTTATAAACATCACAGCCATGAGGGGCAGGCTCCATTATGGTCATAAGTCGAGGACTACTTGTAATAGACTTTCAGGTTCTTTATTTTCTCATCCCCAAAGAGGAATCTGGATCTGTCCTTTTAGAACAGGAGGGAGGAATTTCCCCCCCATAAAGTACCATTGGCCCAGTTTGGAGTCCTCCTGATGTTGGGGGGATCCACAACCACATTTGAGGGCAAAGAGGCATTTGCTGCCTTTCAGAAATGAGTTTTGTGCTCTCCACCACCTTACCTTCCTATTGGCTGCAAGTCCCCTACTTTGTTTAAGGTACCATAAGGTAAAGGTAAAGGTTCCCCTCGCATATATGTGCTAGTCGTTCCCGACTCTAGGGGATGGTGCTCATAATAATAATAATTTTATTGTCATTGCATGGATATACAGAGTATACCTATACAATGAAATTCCCTTAACACCCAAAGACCAGGTCCAACACACATAACAATCCCCAAACACACTCATCTCCGATTCAAAGCCGAAGAGCCAGCGCTGTCCGAAGACACGCTGTCTCCGTGGTCATGTGGCTGGCATGACTCAACACCAAAGGCGCACGGAACACAGTTACCTTCCCACCAAAGGTGGTCCCTATTTTCCTACTTGCATTTTTTACCTGCTTTCGAACTGCTAGGTTGGCAGAAGCTGGGACAAGTAATGGGAGCTCACCCCGTTACGCAGCACACTAGGGATTCGAACCGCTGAACTGCCAACCTTTTGATCGACAAGCTCAGCGTCTTAGCCACTGAGCCCTCATGCTCTTAGAAGAGGAAGTTGACTGTTCTGCTGGGTTTTAAAGTTCAGGCAGAAAAAAGACACAACCTTGTTTTGACAGAACCAGGTAGGCAGCTCCACCTATGTGTCGCAAATCTGCCTCCAGACCCTCTCCGGATGCGAGTTCAGAGGAGGGGGAGTTTGAGTCGGCAGAGTAAAGCGCAGAGCCGAGTGTTGGTCAGGATTGGGGCTCAGAGAGTGCTGGCCTGATGGAGCAGCCTCAGCTAGGTCAGAACAGAACAGAATAACAAGAGTTAGAAGGAACCTTGGAGGTCCAACCCCCTGCTTAGGCAGGAAATCCTACACTACTTCAGACAAATGGTCATCAGACAAGTGACAGGCTGAAGCTGGCAAGCTGCAGCCAGTTGGCCAGGAGGCTCCAGGCTAGGACTGGGATCAGCGGCTGCCTTTTAGCAATGAGGAGGAGGTGACGTCCACACCTCCTCCTGATCTAAGGTCACGTAGAGCAGACAGGAGGCAGGCACAACTCCTGTCAGCTAGGCTACTCATGTGGAGGCAACCTCGCCTCTCATGAAGCGCTGCACTACATCACCTACTTAATCCCTCCCTGAGGACTTGAGTGTTGTTGGAGCAACGTGCCCAGTTCCGTGCCTTGTATGTTTGTGCCGTGTATCCTGACCCGTTTGACTTGTGGACTGCTTTCCTGGACTTCATGTGTGCCCATTAGACTCAGTTACCCAATGACTCTGTTACTGTGCTCGGAATTTGGACCGGCGCAACGGGGGCTGCTTTCCAAGGATCTGTTTCGGGGGTGGGTTGAATAAACACCTGTAGAACTCTTTCTGTACCGGGGGGGGGAAGGGGAGTGGGGGAGTGCATGTATACATGCGCCCAGCTCCTTTGCGCTGTTGTCCTGTGCACTGTGCATCTGAACTCCTTGCAGAAAAGTAATGGACATCTTAATCTCCTCACTTCAGTCACTGGAAGTGCTATTAAGTGATCTTCCCCAGGCCTTGTAATGGTATGTGAGAATGGCCTTGGAGACGGGAGGAAGAGCTGCAGGTGAGTGAGTGGTTGGATAAGAGGCAGCAGAGGCTGCATAAGCAACGGGGGCATGGCAAACAGCTCAGAAAGGACCCTCCCTAGTTTCTTGGATGTAAAGGAGAGGGGAAGAGAGATATACATTGAAACTTGTAAGATTCTGTTAATGCAGGGGTCTGCAACCTTAAACACTCAAAGAGCCATTTGGACCCGTTTCCCAAGAAAAGAAAACACCGGGAGCCACAAAACCCTTCCCGTGTCTGACTATTTCTTGAGCGGCCACAAAACTAGCATATGTAATTGAATTAAATGTTCTGTTTTCTTCTGAAACTTTTCTTTTCTTGGATTTATCCATGGTTGGCCTACCGGGGGTTGAAAAGCTCAATAAATCGTGTGCCAGCGGGTGTCGCACATTGGCAGTTGTGGCACATATTTTGAGTGACAGGGAGCCGCAGCAGAGGGGTGAAAGAGCCATATGCGGCTCCAGAGCCGCAGGTTGCTGACCCCTGTTTTAATGCAATCTTAGTGTAAAATAGAACTACTTCTTGGGGGTATGTTTCTTGACTGGCCTGCCTTGCAGAGCTGACATCAATCTTGCAATTCATGAAGTAAATCGATAGGTAGCGGGACAGTGGGTCTCCAATTTCTTTTTTGTTGTCTGTACACACAGAATTACTTGGACAACTTCTGGCCCGATTTAAAAGCCGCTCAAGAGCTTTTGGATTCCATACTCCAGTCGCGACGTGAACGGGAAAGCGAAAGCCATGAAAACAGTGGGAAGGAATACCCCGAGCATCTCCCTATAGAAACCCTGGAAGCCGGAATCAAATCGGGACACTACATCCAGGTGACGTTTACAACGCATGCACAGAAAGCTAAAATAACAGAGGGCAAATTATCAATATCTCTGACCTCAAAGTAGCTTGACACAGAGCCTTCCAGTGTGAGCTTACTTTAAACTTCCAAGCATCTTTCTTTAAAATTTGTAGACCAGATCTGGCAATCTGGCCAAGCAAAATCTGGTTGATTTGCTAGAGTCAGCTGTAAATACCAAAAGAAGCAGACCTGTACAGAATCGTAAGCCATGAGCTATGCTTTTATAATATTTCTGTGCAGTTTTTTTTTTCTGGAAATAATGGTGAAAATGTAGAGCAGAGGTCTTCAAACTTGGCAGCTTTAAGACTTGCGGACTTCAACTCCCAGAATTCTCCAGCCAGCATAGCTGGCTGGAGAATTCTAGGAGTTGAAGTCCGCAAGTCTTAAAGCTGCCAAGTTTGAAGACCTCTGATGTAGAGGGTCAGAGATATGTCAAAATGGGTATGAGAAATTCCTGAAAACAGAAGCCCTTCCCACGTGTTTCATCTCTCTTGCTCTTTTCTCTCAATAATATAAAATGGCCATTGTCTCTGTAGGCAAAAAAAGATCCCAGCATCTTGCTGCCGTCTCTATGCTGGCCTTTGTAGAATTACGGAATTGGTAGAAAAAAAAACCCAAAATCCACAAAAGGAAGATCTGGAGTGTTTAGTGGCAATTTATTTTAAATAATTTGAAAGTGGCCTGACAACTAGTAATAAAAAATTAGTCGTTTATGGCTCTGAAAATGACATAGCGAAGCAACTGTAATAAACGGCGCACAGCTGGCCGGATAAAATAAATAACATATGGCTTGGCTGATGGCGCTTGCCACAAGTGAGTCTTTAAAGAATGGGGGAAAGCTAATAGGAAGGAGGCCAGTTAGATTTATTAAGCCACAAGGTGGATATCATAGCAGCAAGAGCCAGCATGTTTTTTCAAGAGGCAACTGGACTTTCTGGGTTTTTCTTTGAAGACGTTTCGCTTCTCATCCAAGAAGCTTCTCCGAAGAGCTGAAGAAGCTTCTTGGATGAGGAGTGAAACATCTTCAAAGAAAAGCCAGAAAGTCCAGTTGCCTCTTGGAAGGAAAGTGTCAGACTTCGATGCTATCTCAAAATAAATGAATTTCCAAACTGCCAATCTTTAAGGAAATCTTTTCTTTAATTGAGCACAGCCACCGGATCATGACTCGATGCGGACAAGACTGACCTTTTGCCCCCCAATCCCTCCCTTTCCGATCCCCAAATCTCTGCCGTCATTTCCCAGGAACGTCTCCCCCCTTCATTTCCACGACAACCCGATTTCAAAGGGATTTAGCAGGCAAAAGTTCAGAGCTTATCTCTCTCTCTCCTCTGCTCTCTATGCCAGCGTCGAAGCGCTGACAGAAAGCACCTTTGGGACAACCGTAACCTGGAGGACTGAGGATCTCCCTACACAAGAGCCAATGTGGTTGGCTGCTTAAGGGGTCGAATTATTAAGAGCAGCAGAAGTTCATGTTCAAATCTTGTCTCGCCATGAAAACTCAGTGACTTTTAGTGTCGGTCAGCGTCTAGGCTACCTCTCAGGGTTGCAGTTGTAGGGAAAATTAAAGGTACAGTTACCTCAATTTACAACAGTTCGTTTAGTGAAGTTACAATGGGATTGAAAAAAGTGATTTATGACTGTTTTTCACACTTATGCCCATTGCAGCATCCCTATGGTCATGTGATCAAAATTCAGACATTTGGCAACTGGCATGTACTTATGACGGTTGTAGTGTTCCGGGGTCACGTGATCCCCTTCTGCGACCTTTTGACAAGCACAGTCAATGGGGAAGCCAGATTCACTTAACAACCATATTACTAGCTTAACAATTTCAGGGATTCACTTAACAACTGTGGAAAGAAAGGTCATAAAATGGTGCAAAACTCACTTGACAAATGCTTCACTTAACCACAGAAATGTTGGGCTCAATTGCAGTCGTAAGTTGAGGACTGCCTGTATTGCGTTCACCTAGATCAGAATTTCCCAACTTTGGAAACGTTTAAAACTTGTAGATTTCAACTCCCAGAATTCCCCAGCCGGCTTCTCACAAGCAAGTTTAATGGGGGAAGCTGGATTTGCTTAACAACTTACAAGAATTTAGCAACTGCGGTGATACACTTAACAACCATGTCAAAAGAGGTCATAAAATCAGATGTGACTCACCCAGCAACTGCCTTGCTTAGCAGTTGAAATCCTGGTCCCACTTATGGTCGTAAATCGAGGACTACCTGTATTAAAGATACTTGAGGTCAGAATCGTCCCCCTCCTGGGGTTTCTCATCCTTCCTGATCAGGAGCAGCTTCGCTTTGCTGCACGTGACTTTACTTTTAAAATACTTATTTATCTCGTGCACAAATACGAATGGGCATTTTGGGATACCTAAACTGTTTGGCTCGTAAAAATTCTCAGCATTCCTCCAGGCAGCACTTAAAAGAATGTCAGCCAGCAAATCAAACAAAGAATATCCAGGTCAAACAAAAATGAATAGCGGCTGCCATTCATTTCTGTCCTATGGACGGCTCTCTTTAGTATTTGAATCCTGAAGCAATTTGTATACTAAGTATTTCAAATACCCTTCACGTTTCAGTTCTTCCCTTATCTTAGACCACGAATGAGAGTTTTTATTCAGTTCCTGATACTCTGATATAGGAAAGAGCTGTTCTTAGCAATATAATTGAGGAAAAAAAACTCCATTTGTATAATCATACAACTAAAATAAATCAAGGCTTATCCGTGCATGATTCTGAAACAGCTTTGCAATTCAAAGGGGAAAAAAGCCAATTTTAACAGAGGGATAGAAGCAAGATTGTGTGAAGCATTAGTACCACCTTAGAAGGCCTTGGTAAGTCCACACTTGGAATATCGTATCCGGTTTTGGTTGCCATAATATAAAAAAAGATGTTGAGAGACTGTAAAGGGTGCAAAGAAGAGCAACAAAGATGATTGGGGTTCTGGAGGCTAAAACGTATGAAGAACGGTTGCTGAAATTGGGTATGTCTAGTTTAATTAAAAGAAGGACCAAATGTGACATGATAGCAGTGTTCCAATATTTAAAGGGTTACCACAAAGAAAAGGGAGTCAATTTATTCTGCAAAGCACCTGAAGGCAGGATAAGAAGCAATGGGTGGAAACTAATCAAGGAGAGAAGCAACCTAGAACTAAGGAGAAATTTTCTAAAAGTGAGAACAATTAACCAGTGGAACAGCTTGCCTTCAGAGGTTGTAGGGACTTCATCACTGGAGGCTTTTAAGGAGAAACTGGGCAGCCATTGATGACCTCCAACTCTGTTACTGTTACTGAAATGGTACAGGTTCTCCTGCTTAGGTGGGGGGTTGGATTGGAGGACCTCTGGGCTCCCTTCCAACTCTGTTAATCTGTTATTCATTTTTGTAGGGGGTCTTGAATGTGAATAAGCACAGAGCCCAGTTAGAGGCATTCATGCGATTTCAAGGCGCTAGCAACAAAGAAAAAGGTGAGGACAAATTCAGCATATTCCGTTTGGCTCTCATGCCAAGTCTGGTTTTGCCTTCCTATGCAATGTACACTTGAGGCAATTTAATTTCATTTTTAATTTAATTTCATTTTTAATTTAATTTCATTTCATTTTTAAAAATGTATTTATACCTCAGCCCATGGCCTAACTAGGCAACCTGAAAGAAAGGCTGGTTGAATGGGTGGAATCTGCTTCTGACAATGCTGCTTCTACATTTTTCTGACTTTTGCCCCTCTGTTGTTGCCGATATTATGCTGGGTTCAGTTAAACTTCAGGGTCATTTTGGGAATGGGTGTCAGACTGCGATGCTATCTCAAAATTAAATGAATTTTCAAACTGCCAATCTTTAAGGAAATCTTTCTTTAATTGAGCACAGCCACCGGATCATGACTCCGCGTGGACAAGACTGACCTTTTGCCCCCCAATCCCTCCCTTTCCGATCCCCAAATCTCTGCTTCTCATTGGCTATCTTCGAAGTCATTCTTCAGACTTCTTTTCATGTCATTTCCCAGGAATGTGCCCCCTCCCCTCATTTCCACGGCAACCCGACTTCAAAGGGATTTGGCAGGCAAAAGTTTCAGAGTTTATCTCTCGCTCTCCTCTGCTCTCTATGCCAGCGTTGAAACGCTGACATCGGGTTCCCCAAAGCTATTGGAACAGGAATGGATTGGATTGGATTGGGATAAAAATTAGTAAAACAATATCCTGCAATGTTGGGCAGCTTTTTAAAAAAACGACAAGCCATATCTTAACAGTTGTTATGTTAAAATGAGGCTTTTTTGCATATTTTATTTTTTAAATAATTATTGTTCAGCTTTAATTAATTATTGATTTAATGGATCATCTCTTATCCATGAATATCCCTAATTAGCAAACTGAAGCATATTGAAAATCTTCTGTTTTTTTTCCTCTCCTCTCTAATGCTGGAGATACTAGTCCTCTTGATCCATATTTTTCTTCCTTGGTACCCAGATCTCAAGACAGATGTTCTCATTTATGGCACAAAAGCCCGGAATAGGGCAATCCATGGGGATGTGGTGGCAGTGGAATTATTGCCCCAGAAGGAGTGGAAAGGACGGACGGCTGCCCTCGGAGAGAATGAGGGCGAAGAGAAAACTCCTGGGGAAGTTTATGGTGAACCCATGCCCACTGGTACGTGGCCAAGAAGAAGACCTGTTGAGACCAGGCTTCTGTTTTGATCGGCTGCCAACCCCAGTTATACGTCTGTTGTATTATCAAGTATGACGCAGGTCTTCGGGGAGAGGATATTGGGGTGCGTAAGACAGGGATGGGTTACGGTATGGGGCTTAATCGTATAAGGTGTGCATTCTGAAATTCTCAAAAGAGCAACCAGGATGATGAGGGGACTGGAGGCTAAAACATACGATGAACAGTTACAGGAATTGGGCCTGGTTAGTCTAGTGAAGAGAAGGACCAGGGGAGACATGATAGCAGTCTTCCAATATTTGAGGGGCTGCCACAGAGATGAAGGGATCAAGCTATTTTCCAAAGCACCTGAAGCAGTGGTGAAATCCAAATTTTTTTACAACCGGTTCTGTGGGCTTGGCTTGGTGGGCATGGTGTGGCTTGGTGGGCGTGACGGGAAGGATATTGCAAAATGTCCATTCCCACCCCAGTCCAGAGGAAGGATATTGCAAAATCCCCATTCCCTCCTCACTCCTGGGGGAAGGATATTGCAAAATCTCCATTCCCATCCCACTCTGGGGCCAGCCAGAGGTGGTATTTGCTGAACTGCTCAAAATTTCCACTACCGGTTCTCCAGAACCTGTCAGAAACTGCTGGATTTCGCCCCTGATCTGAAGGCCAGACAAGAAATAATGGATGGAAACTGATCAAGGAGAGATTCAATCTAGAAATAAGGAGGACTTTTTTGACAGTGAGAACAATCAACCCATGGAACAGAAGTTTGGAAGTTGTGGGGGCTTCATCCCTGGAGGCTTTCAAGAAGAGACTGGACTGCCATCTGTCAGAAATGGTGTAGGGTCTCCTGCTTGGGTGGGGGGGGTGGGGTGGGCTAGATGACCTGCAAGGTCCCTTCCAACTCTGTTAATCTGATAATCGGCCTCGGTTTCCCTTCCAGGCAAAGTGGTGGGCATCCTGCAGAAGAACTGGCGTGAGTACGTGGTCACTTTCCCCTCCAGGGAAGAGAATCAGTTGCACAGCAAAAACGCCCAGAAGGTTCTTGTGACCCCTTGGGATTACCGGATCCCTAAAATCCGAATAAGCACTCAGCAGGCCGAGGCATTGCAGGTGAGCGGTCGTTTGGCCTTCCCTCAGAGTCCAGCGGGTGTGTGAGCGAGCGACTTCTGACACCTCTGACGTGCTTTCACCTCAGGATTTCCGGGTTGTCGTACGTATAGATTCTTGGGAATCAACCTCACTGTACCCCAACGGACATTTTGTGCGGGTCGTGGGCCGGATAGGCGATCTCGAAGGAGAAATACAGACGATTCTGGTGGAGAATTCCGTTTCGGTTAGTCCTTTCTCCGAGGCACAGGTAAGCTCTTGTTGTTCTTGTTTTTCTTTGGTGAAAATTAATTTAATTTAATTTAATTTTAGGGGCGGTACACAAGTAGTCCTCAACTTACAACCATTCGCTCAGCGACCAAAGTTACAACGGAATTGAAAATTTTTTCACACTTAACATCTCTTGCAAGCATCCTTGTGGTCACTTGGTAAAAATTTGGATGCCTGGCATCGTTCAGTGTTTATGACGGTTGCCATATCCCAGGGTTATGTGATCACCAACTTACAGCAACTTCAGGAGTTTCTCCCCAAAATTAGACACCTTTGGCCTAGATGATTGAGTCTTCGTTGACATATTGCGAGTCATTTTGGGGAGAAACCCCCAAAGTCGGTGTAGCAAGAGATGGTACATTCCTACGACTCTCTGACTCTGCCTAATTTTGCTCTGACGGATGATGTTGCTTGGATGAGCAACGAACCATCTCAGATTAACAAAGTGTTAGCTGTCCATCTCAAGGCTTTGAAAAGCCTCTGACGATCCCAGCTGAGCCGCGTGATCATCAGAGGCTTTTTTTTTTTACTTTTAAAAGCAATTTTTTTAAAAGAAAAAAAAAAGATTGCGCGCCACAGCTGATCATTCCCCCCGTACGCTGTTCTACTTACCGCATGCCTCCTTTTGGCATGCACTGTGTGTGCGCACCTCGCATTTGGTGCGTGGTGCGCACTGCATATGCGCAGCCAGCAAACTGGTAGTAAACCGGTTCAGATTTCACCACTGGCTCAGTTATACCAGTGCTCAGTTTATGACGCAATGGTCTCTTTGTCCCTGTAGATGTGTGAGATGCCCACCCTCGTCCCGGAGAAGCCATGGCAAGTAAGTCCCGAGGAGCAGCAGAAGCGCCTCGATCTGAGAGAGACCCATTTGGTCTTCAGCATTGACCCCAAAGGCTGCGAAGACGTGGATGATGCCCTCTCCATCAGGCTCCTTCCCAACGGCAACCTGGAACTGGGCGTCCACATTGCCGACGTAACGCATTTTGTGGCAGCCAATTCTTACACCGATACAGAGGCCAAAGCAAGGTAGGTCTTTTTCCATTTAATCATGCCAAGAGTCATTGAAGAAACGACAGCTAGTCCTCAACCTACAACAGTTCATTTAGTGACCATTCGAAGTCACAATGGCACTGAAAAAAGTGACATATGACCACTTTCCACACTTACAACCTACAGCATCCCCATGGTCATGTGATCAAAATTCAGATGCCTGGCAACTGACTCATATTTATGACGGTTGCAGTGTCCCGGGGTCATGTGATCACTTACTGTGACTTTGACAAGCAAAGTCAATGGGGAAGCAGACTCACGTAACAAACATATTACTAATTTAACAACTACAATGATTCACTTAACAAGTCTGGCAAAAAATGGGGCAAAACTCACTTAACAACTGTCTCGCTTAGCAACAGAAACTTTGGATTCAGTTGTGGTCGTAAGTCAATGACTGTCTGTAGAACAAGAATATTATGCTCTGAATTTTGATCACGTGACCATGGGGGATGCTGCGACGGTCGTAAATGTGAAAAATGGCCATGTCGGTTTTTTTTTCACTGCCGTTGTAACTTTGAACGGTCACTAAACAAATGTCTGTAAGTCAAGGACTGCCTGTATGATTTGCCCAAATTATTTTTAGCCTTTGTGCTACTCCTGATGTTATTGGTTTCTAATGTCACATTAACTTCACATTTTCCTTAATTATGGCTTGAATAATTCACAGTTGGTTAGGATTGTGAAATGGGCTGAGCCATAAACCGTGGTTTATTTATCACGATTGCTGAGAGAGTCAAAAAGCTCCGTTATGTCCTCATATAAAATTTGAGCCCTACATCAGTGTTTCTCAACCTTGGAAGCTTGAAGATGGGTGGACTTCAACTCCCAAACTCCCCCAGGCAGCGCTGCTGCCTGGGGGATTCTGGGAGTTGAAGTCCACCCATCTTCAAGCTACCAAGATTGAGAGACACTGCCTACATTAATCTATTTTCGTTTTTCTTCTCTGTTAAAACTTCCTCGGTGAATTGTTTCTGCTAAAAACAATTATTCTGAACTAAACCGAGGCATCCATGTCAGCAAAGATTGTGTGTGTGTGTGTGTGCCTTTGAGTCACTCTTGTCTCCTGAACAGGTCCTGACAGTTTTCTTGGCAAGGTTTTGGAAGTGGTTTGCCATTGGCTGCTTCGTAGGGCTGAGACAGAGTGACTGGCCCAAAGTCACCCAGCTGGCTTTTGTGCCTCAGAAAAATCTAGAACTCAGGGTCTCCTGGTATCTGGCCTAAGGCCTTAACCACAACCCCAGACTGACTCTCAACAAAGATTAACGTGTTACGATGAATCCAAATGCTATATGAAAGCTACACTTCTTGTCTAGATAAAATTATTTTATAGTCAGTAATTAAAAGCCTGAACACATCCGGAATATGTTACCAAGCAAGCTGCCTGGAGCTGTCCAGGCAGTTGCCAGGAATCAAGACTGAATCAAAGGCTTAAAAAATAACCACGGTGCTACAAGGTGTGTCTGATTTTTTTTTAAGCTTCAAAATGTGCAATGAGAGAAAAAAAACATTGACTACTTTTGCTCCTGATTTCTTTAGGGCTACTACTTACTACTTAGCTGACCGTCGCTATGACATGTTGCCTGCCATCTTGAGTGCCAATTTATGCTCCCTTCTTGGGAACGTGGACAGGTGAGTTATCAACTCCTTGCAGTGGGGAAGTTAAGCTAAGCCCCTCGTAGTACGCCTTTTCACCAACACTAACTCTTGTGGGAATTATGACTCTAAATATAAAGACTTGCAGTCTTTTAACTAAGAAAATACAAGCTACTTTCCTGCTGAGTGCGTGATTGGGTTCACCCACTGCAGTAAAAGCCACTGGTTTTCCAAATTATATGGTTATATTATATGGTTTTTATTCAGAAAAGACAGAGCTGGATAGACTACTCACAGGAACAGAGGATAAATTAATAAAAAAAAAACTTTATAATTTTTTACTTGGCATTGAATTGGAGGAGGAGCAAGTAAAGGAAACAATGATAGCCTGGGCAAAGAATTTTGGCTATTCAATTGATTTAGATAAATGGCAACAGTTATGGGAAAGGAATTATAAATTAACAATGTCCACTGCATACAAGGAAAATCAATATAAAATGTTTTATAGATGGCATATGCCCCCTGAGAAACTGGAAAAAATGTTTAAAGATAAATCAGCTAAACGTTGGAAGTGTCACCAGTTACCAGGTTCATATTATCATATGTGGTGGACATGTTTAGAAGCTAAAAACCATTGGAATAAAATTAAGATATGGCTGGAAGAAATGATACAATAACATATTGATTTAAAACCAGAGCTGAGTTCCTACTGGGTATCATCCAAGAAAAAATTAGTAAAGAAAGTATCTATTTGATTATACTTATAATAGCAGCTGCAAGGATTGTTTATGCACAAAATTGGAAAGCAGAGAAAATACCTTTGGAAGGAGAAGTAATTAAAAAATTTTTAGACTGCAGAAATTAATAGATTGACTTTGATGATTAAAGAAAGAGAAGATTCAGAATACTTTTAAGATATGGAATCAGTTTTACCATTGGTTAGAAAAGAGATACAAAATAAGTAAATTAAGAGTTATGTACAAAAATGCTACAATTAGAATATTGTGTTAATAATAATAATAATAATAATAATAATAATAACAACAACTATTATTATTATTATTATTATTATTATTATTATTATTATTATTATTATTATTATTTTATTTCTATACCGCCCTTCTCCCAAAGGACTCAGGGCGGTGTACAGCCTATTTAAAAACACAGACAAAACAACAATATAAAATTTAAAATAATTAAATAAATTGGCTCAGATTTAAAACCCAAAAAAATTTAAATACCCCAATTTAAAACTATTGTGTTGATAGTCCGGCCTGGCGGCACAACAGGGTCTTCAATGCGCAGCGAAACACCCGGAGGTCGGAGATCTTACGAATTTCCGGGGGCAGTTCGTTCCACAGGGCTGGGGCTCCCACAGAGCCCAGGCCTGCGAGAGGGGGGAGTCTCGCAGCGCAAGAAGGTCGGTTTTTTGGAGCGGTTAGTGTTGAATTGTTATAAACTTGGCGAGAATGAAGATAGAAGAAACAACAAAAAGAAGAACTTTTGGAGACAACACCGAGATGTCACATGGAAGGAATGACTGATATATTAAATGTTTGTTTGTCTAAAAAATAAAAAACTTTTTTTTAAAAAAAGCACCTGGTTTTCCAGTAGGGTATGAAAAAACCCTATTTGGTTGGATCCGTGCTTCATATTAGGTCCAAGTCTGTTAGCTTTACTAGTCCTGACGAAAAGCATTACCTGGAATACGAGCTCTGTTTTCGTTATAGGGTTACAGTAGCAGAATCTTGCAAAGGGAAAGTACTTTGCCTAGGACAGGGGTTGGCAACCTGCAGCTCCGGAGCCGCATGTGGCTCTTTCATCCTTCTGCTGCGGCTCCCTGTCGGCGGTCAGCTCCACAATTGATAGAGCTTTCAGTTAGGACAGGTAGGGGAAAAAGGAGGCCACACTAGGAGGAGACTCCATGGTGGGGGAACCGGACTTCCGGTCAGCTCCAGAATTGAACGGGGGGGCTTCCGGTTAGGACCTTCGTGACTCTTTGAGTGTTTAAGGTTGCCGACCCTTGGCCTAGGAAAAGATTGGACAACCATTTGTTTGAAATGGTATAGTGTCTCCTGTTTGAGCAGGGGGTTGGAATAGAAGACCTCTAAGGTCCCTTTCAAGTCTGTTATTCAACTCAGTTAAGAAGATCCGTGGTGGCGCAGTGGTTAGAATGCATTATTGTAGGCTACTTCTGCCGACTGCCGATTGCCAGCATTTCTGTAGTTCGATCCTGACCAGCTCAAGGTTGATTCAAGGCTCCTTCCATCCTTCCGAGGTGGGTCAAATGAGGACCTAGATTGCAGGAGGCGATATGCTGACGCTGTAAACAGCTTAGAGAGGGCTGCAAAGCGGTATATAAGTCTAAGTACTATTGCTAATAGACAGAATCTTGCCGGACTAAAACTCTAACCTTCTCACTTAATACATACAGTCTGGGAGATTCTAGGGTGTGGCTACCTTGGACCTTTTCCTCCCTTCCTTAACCAGTTCAGGGCTGCAGAATCTCTTTATCTTGGGCCTCTCTCTAGAATGTGTGCTTCCTCCCTGGTGCACATTCATTAAATTTCATTTTTACTCTTTGGAAAGCTAAGGAGGGTCACTTCTGAGATGTTTCCCACACCTCCCTCCTTCTGCAGGCTGAGACAAGTACCATGTTTCCCCGACAATAAGACTCTGTCTTATATTTTTTTTGAACCCTGATATAAGCGCTTGGCCTTATTTTCGGGGAGGTCTTATTATTTTGGAGCGTGTGGAGGAAGATGGGGCTCCTCTTGCCACCTTACCTGATTTACAGCTTTGTGTTTAAATATTTTTGGGGAGGGCTTATATTCATGGGGAGGCTTATTTTAGCGCATGCGCTCAAAAGCCCGATTGAAGGGGTGAAATCCAGCAGGTTCTAACAGGTTCTGGAGAATCTGTAGCGGAAATTTTGAGTAGTTCGGAAATTTTGAATATCTTCTCTGTACCTCCCAAGAGAGAGATCTAAATGTCAGGTCATTTTTCTTTTTGTGCCTATCCCTGTTCAAAATGCCGTCCTTCCACCAAAATAGGGCTTGGAAGTATGGAGTGAGTGCTTTAAATGACATGGAATACTTGTAAACTTCTTTTCTGCATTATTATTGTTGTTGTTGTTGTTGTTGTTGTTGTTGTACAAAAAATTGTGTTAACTCTGAAGCTGACTTGACCGAGGCCATTTTGAGGCGTCAGTGTTATCACACTGGAACTGAGGGAGGGGGGACGGGGGAATAGAGATAGATAGGGTTTGTAGCCAAAACAAAATACTTTCTCCTGGGAACCAAGGACATTCCCACAGGTGGTCGGAGAGAGGAGGCATGAAGTTACCATACCTTGTAGTAATGACACCTTGATTGGATCATGTGACTGATAGTTGGGGGAAGGAAACCACCACACCACACTACCAAGCCACGCCCACAGAACCGATAGTAAAAAAATTTGGATTTCACCGAAGGAAAACTTTAACTTTTAATTTGGTGAAAACCGCGGGAACATTCAGAGTCTGGTTTTTACCAGAACTGTGCCAATATGATATATGCAACAAAGCTGTCCTTTGAGGAATTTACCTGCTGCAGAGTTCTGTGTGCTATGGCTGTATGACTTGGAACCCTGACACCTTGCTTGTAAGTGTCTTCATCAGGGATGGTTTGCATATTTGTTTTCAGGTATGCCGTGAGCGTTATCTGGGAGCTGGACAAGGCCTCTTACGAAATAAAGAGAGTCCGGTACAAGAGAACCATCATTCGCTCTTCTTACAAACTCTTTTATGAGGCCGCCCAGGCTTTGCTAGAGGGAGACCTGACTGCTGCCGGGGAAATCCCGGAGCTCAAAAGCATGGAGGAAAATACACGGAAACAGAAGTTAGATGAGCTGAAGTGGGCCATCGGGAAGTTAACTGACGTTGCCCGCCATCTCCGAGCCAAACGCAGCAGCTACGGAGCCCTGGAGCTGGAAGGGATGGAAATCAGGGTTCAGCTGGACGACAAGAAAAACATCGATGACCTTATCCCCCGCCAGCCGCTGGAAGTCCACGAGACAATAGCCGAGTGCATGATTCTGGCAAACCACTGGGTAGCCAAGAAGATTTGGGAGGTTTTCCCCTACCAGGCGCTGCTTCGTCAGCACCCGCCACCCCGGCAGGAGTTTTTTTCCGAGGTCCGAGAATGTGCCAGTGCAAAAGGCTTTTCGATTGACACGCGGTAAGTAGATGTATTATTTATTTAGCATGCGGCATATTATACATGGACTGGCAATATAAATTTAACATTTCAACTAGATGACTAGAACCCAATAAAAGATGAAAGTCAAAAAGAGCTATGTTCAAATAATAATGTCTAGGCCATTTAACCACTGAAGTGCAGCATTGTGTTCTGACCCAGTTCCCCAAACACGACAAACCCTCTGTGGTTAAACCAATGATTCCTTTATTAGGAGCACCAGCAGCCCCGGCAAAAAGTTTCTCTCTCCGTGCAGGCTAACAAGTCTGTCCGGCAGGGAGATGAATAGTTTTCTGCCACACCTATTCATCTCCACCCTCCGCCTTTTATCCCCAGAGCTAGGGTGGGGCCTCGCTAGCAGCGGTGGCTCTTCTGTCCCAAGGACCGGCCCATAGATTTCCACTGTTCTCCTCTCCTCTGCCTTCTGTGCATCCGCGCGTCAGGCACTGGACCCAGCTGTTCCTCCTCTTCATCTTCATCATCAGCCACCTCCAGACTGGGGAGCTGTTGACTCTCCATCTGAGGGCTGATGGATGGCCCAGGCTCTGTCTCTGTCTCTCTCTCTCTGACAGCTCCTTTCCCTCTTCCCCCTCGGAGCTCTCAAGTTGCCTTGATGCTGACCCCGACTCCCATGCCTCCTCCTCCTCTGATTTGGCTGCTGGAGCTGACATACCACAACACATTGTTTAAATTTTTAAAAATCAGATACTGGACCAGTATATACCCTGAGTTTATAGCCAGTCACAATATAATCTACAGTTTGATATGGGACCCCACAGTCACACTGAGGAGAGGATGCTATGCCCCATTTATACAGAGAGTCCTGGCAGACGCTGTGTGAGGTGCGAATCCTATTTGGGATTGCCCATTGCTGACGTGGTAGTAAGCAATTATTCTAGGCCCGTGATGGTGAACCTATGGCACGCATGCCGGAAGTGGCACACAGAGCCATTGCCAAGCTCACATGAAGCTGTGCATGCGCGTGTGCCCCAGCTGGTGTTCAGGCCTCTGGTGTACATGCGCGCAATTCAGGGGACCCAGCTGGTCTTCGGAGCTCTCCTGCGCATGCGTGCGTGTTTGCGCATGTGCACGAAATGACTGGTGCACAGTGCACGCATGCGCAGACAGCATTTGCACTTATGCATTGTGCACACAAAAGCTGTGCGCATGCGCAGATGGTGTGGTTGCGCATGCAGCACATGGGGAGGAGCCATGCGTTAACGCGGATGGTATGCGAGCGCGTGCAGAGCGCTCCTGTTCGGCACTCGGTAAATAAAAGGTTCGCCACCACTGTTCTAGGCTAATGAGTATTCTACTAAAAAGGATTTATGTGCAGGGTACGGCATAGGAACATTCTCATTGTGATGGTTCTCCCAGAGCATTAACAGCAATGTTAGACTTGTAAGCCATGAAACTCAGTTATTATACATCTTTGCCCTGGGGCCATCCAAGCAACACTGGTCAGCTTTCTCAGCCTCTGGAGTTTGTGTGGGTCCAAATAGGAAGAACTGCTTCAACTTAACTTAGACAAGATTAATGTCTGTGGGCTTCAAGGTCCCCTGGCTCTAGTCATCATGGTTTAGAGAGGGAGTAACAATCTCGCAGGCATCTCCCCTGGATTTGCAACTCCTACTTGAACAGCGGCTGGCGGCCATGCCCAGGAAGGTCTTTGCACAGTTTCATTTGGTGCATCAGTTGCGCACATTCCTAGATCCGGAGGCCTTCCTTCAAGGTCACTCACGCCTTCTCACCTCTGGATTGGATTGTTACAATGGACTCTGCATCGGGCTGCCCTTGAACACCATTTGAAAATTTCAGCCGGTCCAGAACTCAGCAGGAAAACCATGATGCAACTATGGGATACCAGCATTGCATGAACTACACTGCCTCCAGCTGGGCTTCCCAGAGCAATTCAAAGTGGTAGTTTTCTTAACAGATTAACAGAGTTGGAAGGGACCTTGTAGGTCATCTAGTCCAACCCCCCCCCAAGCAGGAGACCCTCCACCATTTCTGACAGATGGCAGTCCAGTCTCGTCTTGAAAGCCTCCAGTGATGAAGCTCCCACAACTTCTGAAGGCAATTTCTGTTCTGTTGGTTGATTGTTCTCAGAGTCAGAAAATTTCTCCTTATTTCCAGGTTGAATCAGTTTCCATCCATTATTCCTTGTCTGGCCTTCGGGTGCTTTGGAGAATAGATTGACCCCTTTCTCTCTGTGGCAGCCCCTCAGATATTGGAAGACTGCTATCCTGTCTCCCCTGGTCCTTCTCTTCACTAGACTATGCCCAGTTCCTGCAACCATTCATCGTATGTTTTAGCCTCCAGTCCCCTAATCATCTTGGTTGTTTTATTATAGTGTGGTGACCAAAACTGGATGCAGTAGTCTTGGTGTGGTCTTACTAAGGCTTTATAGAGTAGTATTAGTACCTCTCTTCAACTTGACTGTATCCCTGACTGTAATAGACTGTATCTAGTAATGCAGATTAGGATTGCATTGGCTTTTTTGGCTGCCGCTGCACAGAGTTAGCTTTATTATAGTTATCATCTTCAAAGCTCTATAGAACAGGGGTCGGCAACTATGCCCCCTTTATGACCTATGGACTTCAATTCCCAGAATTCCAACTTCCATGCATGGCTGGCTCAGGAATTGTGGGAGTTGAAGTCCACAGGTCGTAAAGGGACCATAGTTGCCCACTCCTATTCTATGGCATTGAGTGATTAAGAGAAGTAATTATAGTTCTTTCGTTGACAGATCTAACAAGGCATTAGCTGACTCTCTGGACAGAGCCGTGGACCCTTCTGACCCCCTGGTGAACCAGCTGTTGAGGTCTATGGTCACTCAAGCCATGTCAAACGCCGTCTATTTTTCAACTGGATCATTTCCCGAGGAAGACTTCTTCCATTACGGTATTTGCTGTAATGTGGGCGACCTGTCTGTTTCTTACTTCTGCAGCTGTCTTGTGGACTTTGGGCTTATTCGTGTCCTCTCCACCTTAGGTCTGGCTCTGGATAAATACACCCACTTCACATCGCCCATTAGGAGGTACGCAGATATAATTGTCCACAGACTCTTGTTAGCGGCCACTTCAGCAGAAGATGAAGTCGGTGCAAAATGTGGCTTGCTTGGCAATAAAGAACTTGAAGAGCTATGCAGACATATCAACAGCAGGAACCGGGTAAGGTTGCAGACCAGTTTCCTTTTATCCATGCTCTAACAGAAAAACCATGCTTGAGGTTTGAAAACTTTTCACTGTAGCAATTCTGGAGATGTTCCAAGAATGACAGTATTCTGTCTAAAATGGTACCTTGGTACTCGTCTTTAATGGATTTGAGGCGCAAAAAGTACTAAAAATGACGAGTATCAAACAAATCGCAAGGAAGGACTTCCTGGCTGTCCCATTTCCTGTGCATCACTGACCTTCCCAGCATAACTGATGTCGTCTCCGCCTGTCCCCCTCTTCCTTTTGCAGCAACCTTCCCAGCATGGCCGACTTCCTGTCCTCTGCGGCCGTCCCCCTCTTCCCAGTTTCTAGCCCACTGTTTTAACCAGAACCCCAAACTGGCTCTCTAAACCTGATTTTTCTTTTAAATAGCCATGGTGGGTTTTCTATTTGAAGGGTATTGATTAGCTTGTTAGAACAGAGCAGACCAGCAATTCAGACAAGAGCCAAAGAAACGGCAGGCAGCATGAGGGGTACTGGATTTGACAGCATCTGAGACTCTAAAACGTTTTGAAAGCAACTTCTGTGGCTAATTGCAATTGCTTTCTTCGGAAAGGCGGCCCAGCACGTTCAGAAGGAATCCACAGGCCTTTTCCAGTGCATGTTTTTCAACGACAAGAGTCCTGAGAGGGAGGAGCAGCGCTCAGCGGACGGAGTGATCTATTCCATCCGAACCAACGGGGTGCTCGTCTTTGTGCCAAGGTGAGGAGGTATTCTGCCCCAGTTACGGACCCCAAAGAACGCAGCACACCACAAAGTCCGTTCAAACCTTAATTTACTGAATAAACCAGTCTTTTACAACAAGGGCTGTTAATTAACTGCACTAACAGCTGCCAACAATTCAAAGAATAACAACTGAAAACTTACTATGGTTGGCAGAATGCCCAGAAGCAATTTGCAGGAAGCTGATAAGATAAGCAGGACAAGACAGGAAGGTATGTGAACGAAGTTGTTCCCTGCAAATTGCTTCAGTCGACGTTCCTTCTTAAATAGGCTAAGGAAGTGGCCAATTAGCCCCAAGCCTTACTCTCGAGAAGACCTCCTCCTGAGGAGCCACTCCTGCCTTTTGGCAGCTCTGCGCACCCGTGCATTGAGAAGAGGCTCTCCTCTTCTTCCTCTTCACTTATGGGAGCTTCTGGAGGTTCTGAAGGCCCTGGCTGAATCCCCGCCTCTGGCACCACATCTTCTCCAGCCTCCTCATTGTCCGACTCGAGTGCCAGCTGCACAGGCTGCTGGCGCAGCACCACACCAGTCTCCTCGCTGTCGGAATCAGCTACTAGCTGCACAGGCCGTGTACGGGCCACAACCGGAGGCATCTTGAAGAGAGGTGAGGAAAGGCTGTGGACGTGGCAAGGCGCTGGAAAGCAAGGGCAGAATTTCATGGTTGACCCAAAAGTTCTTTTCCAAAAGGTGACTGGACTTGGGTTTTTTTCCCTTTGAAAACGTTTGGCTTCCCATCCAAGAAAGGAAGACTGAAGACTATTTCTTGGATGAGAAGCAAAACTTTTTCAAAGTCTTGGTGGCGCAGCAGACTAAAGCACTGTTAAGTAAAACCAGCTGCCTGCAATTACTGCAAGTTCAAATCTCACCAGGCTCAAGGTTGACTCAGCCTTCCATCCTTTCGAGGTAGATAAAATGAGGACCCGGTTTGTGGGGGCAATAAGCTGACTTTGTATAAAAAAGAACACCACTTAGAGGGGGCCCGAAAGCCCTACTAAGCAGATATATACAAAAGTATGAAGGCTATTGCTTAACGCATTGCAAGCCGCCCTTGGTCTCCAGAGAAGGGCGGCATATAAATCAAGCCAAGAAAGAAAGAAAGAAAGAAAGAAAAAGAAAGAAAGAAAGAAAGAAAGAAAGAAAGAAAGAAAGAAAGAAAGAAGGAAGGAAGGAAAGAGGAAGGAAGGAAGGAAAGAGAAAGAAAGAAAAGAAAGAAAGAAAGAAAGAAAGAAAGAAAGAAAGAAAGAAAGAAAGAAAGAAAGAAAGAAAGAAAGAAGTCCAGTCACCTTTTGGGAAAGCATCTTTAGTACTCATGTTTTATACTTCTGGGTCTTTCCGAAGGGTTGACATCGCATCTGCCTCTGGAGTAGGTGCTCCAGTGAGCGTGCTCTGAGTCTCTGATACGGAGTGCATTTTCCTCCCCCAAATAAAGTACCGGGGACATGATTTTCAGGATGCCAATTCAGAGTGCTCTTTTCTTCAGCAGCCGCTTGGTTCCTTTAAACTCAGGGGTGTCAAACTTGATTTCATTGAGGGCTGCAGCAGGGCTGCGATGACCTCGGGGGGAGCTGGGGTGGGTGTGGCCAGCTTGGCGTCACTCCTGTCGGGGGGCGCCTGCGGTGGCCCGAGTACCCTGCCAGTGAAAACGGGCTCCCGAGCTCTGTTTCCAGCTGCGACGGCCTCCTGCAACCCTCTGCCAGCAAAAACAGAGCTCGGGAGGGCTGTGGCCGGATCTGGGCCCTGGGCCGTGAGTTTGACACCCCTGCTTTAACTTGCGGCCAAAGACTTGTATTTGATGAATCAGCTTCCTGGCTGTTAAATATAAAAGTATAAAGCAGTGTTTCTCAACCTTGGTAGCTTGAAGATGGGTGGACTTCAACTCCCAGAATCCCCCAGCCAGCGCTGCTGGCTGGGGTATTCTGGGAGTTGAAGTCCACCCATCTACCCATCTTCAAGCTTCCAAGGTTGAGAAACACTGGTATAAAGGATCTGGCTGAAGTGTCAAGCAAGCCGTTTCTCTTACAGGTACGGCATTAAAGGGGCTGCCTATCTGAGGAGCAAGGAAGGGTTGGTCATCTCCTGTCCAACCGATGGGGACTATGAATGGCAACCTGGTTCTCTGCAGCGCTTCCCCAGCAAAATTATCGCCACTCCCACGGTCGGAAAGCCTGTGACTTTGAATCTCTTCGATCATGTGACGGTAAGTGATGTATCTTTAGAACAGGGTCCCCAACCCCCGGGCTGCGGTAACAGTTAAGCGGGCCATCAGGAACTGGGCCATGCAAGCAAGCAAAGTCCCATTTGCACACGTGCGGGATCCAGACAGCGCGTGTAACCACGCCCCTCCCTGATCTGTGGGAAAACCTTCCCTCCATAGAACTGGTCCTTGGTGCTCAAAAGCAAGGGGGCCGCTGCTTTACGACACGCACCAGTAGTTTACGTAAACTTGCAGGAGTGTCAGCTGCCATCTTATGCTCGCTTGTGCTTGGCTACTATTTGGTGACAGTGCCAGGAACAGTGGAGAGGAAGGGAACTGTAACGGGGAAAGCGAAAGTAAGTGCTGTTATCTCGAGATGCTGCTTCAAGGTCATCCGGCATATCAGCTGCATACCAAACGGTATCTGTATTGTCCATTAAGAAAACATCTTGCTTGAACCTCATTGGTTGCCCGGGGGTGGGTAATGGGAGGTAGATAAGGGGTGGGATAAAGCTGAACTAAGGGATTTTGGCGTGCAGTTTTCAGTTCTGGCTTTGCATTATTGCAATAAGCTTGATTTCTAATAAAACTATATTTCTCAACAAAATGGGAGCCAAGGATTGTTTCTATTTAGGAGTTTAATCCGTGTCAGGTCTGACAGAGATTTACTCCGAGTTGTTCTTACCCAGGTGAAAATCTCCGTGCAGGCGTCTCGCTGCCATGCAGATAGGATCCAACTTCAGATCACAAGCTGCAAGCCATACAAGACTTCGGAAACAGAACCGTCTCAGAGGACCCAGATGTCTAGAACAGACTTGGTAAGGGAAGTCACGAAGACGGCGGAGGAAACGCAACTTGCACAGAATCTGGCCAAAGCAAACCAGGCAAAGGAAGGATTTGACGAAGAGTATCGGCAGACCCAGTGTAGGAAGAGCTTGTATCATCTGCTAGAAGAAATCAAGGATCTGTCCCTTTTGGATGTATCTGCAGACCGTGGAGCATGAGGCCTCATTTCACACGGCTTCTGTGCCAAAGCCTCTTTTCTCAGCTTGTGGGTTGTTTTTTTTAAGTTGTAAATTTATGATTACAATGTTGTTTATCTTTAAAAAAAATGGAGAATCTATTTTTAAGATTGCATTTTTAAATCCATTTATAGCAATTATTGGTCGTGGAAGATACGCTTTTGTCTTTTATAAATTAAATACAAATAGCTCTTAAGCACCTCAGGGAGTAAGTGATGATGTAGCAGATTAGTTCTTTAAAGTACTCCTGCTTGGTAATTTTTGACTGTGTAGAAACCTACATTGAGTGAGTTGCTTTAAATTATTTTAATGGGTAGTGTAGCAATTCTCAACTTCAGCAACTTTTAAGATCATGGATGCCAATTCCCAGAATTCCCTAGCCGGCATGCCTGCTCAGGAATTCTGGGAATCAAGTGTCTACACAACTTAAAAGTTGCTGGGGTTGAGAAACACTGAGCTACGGTTCAGTTATTTAATCGTTTTTAGTTGTTTTGACATGCAGATACTGAGATATACAGTATGTAAATGACAGGAAACAGTCAGATGTAGCTTTAAGAACAAGTTTAGTTCGGTCTTTTTTTTAAAAAAAAAAAAGTCGTTTATAGGCAGAGTTGCTTAGTGTTTGAAGAGTTTTTGAAGTCTAAGGAAGCAAAGCCAAGTCATTTTTGATGCTCAGATATGCTATTTTCTTATGCTGAAACTTGGGGTTTGCAAGGGCTCTTTGTAGGAATCTTAATTTCTCTATAAATGCACAAAAACACCTGGATTTGCACAATACAGTTGCAAATGGTTAACCCAATGTTCTGGATCTGCAGTGGACCATGTACTAACTTCATAGTTGTATTCTCTAAGCACACTCAAGTGCTGGTGGCTAGTTTGTACCTCAATCTCTTAGCTGCTATTTATAGTACCATGTACTTAAGGGTTGAACCCCCACGCTTATCGTTCACACGCCTGACTTTTCCCATGTAGCACAAGCACTCAAGTGAGTTCACACCAGCTTGGTGTGATAATACGTGAAGCAAGCTTTTATTTCTCAGCAAACATCCACAGATTGCCAGGCTTCAGATTTAATTCATATGAATTTGTGGAAGCAGTAAAAAATGTCTTCTCCTTCCCCAACTATGATCAAAGTTGGCAAGCATCACTGTGGAAGAACCAAAGATTTCATGACCTTGTCTGAACTCTGCACTTAGCAGCCAAGGGGAAAAATGGCTGGTGGGAAGTTTGACTGACAGTGTCTGTCAAACTTAGCCGGTTGCAGATGTGGGCGTCCGCATTGTACAGTTCTTCTTTGAAGTGGTTTGGAAAAATAAAAATGATTATTCATTGATCTGTTTTTGTACGATGGGTGGTCACACTGCCAAACCTGTCTAGACCTGGAAGCCAAATACAGGTGGGGTGGTTGTTTCTTACCTGATTGGAGACTTCCAGGGAATCTCTAGTTTGTAACTTATATAAGAACCAAAACATCCCGAAATTCTAGAGAGGTATTGATAAGCACCTTTTGAGCTGCCACCAAGAAAAAAACAGATGTGTTCACCAGGACTCAAGACTGACCCAAAGACACTGAGCTTGTTGATCAGAAAGGTCAGCAGTTCGGTGGTTCAAATCCCTCGTACAGGTCTCCTGCGTGAGCAGGCGGTTGGACTAGATGACCTCCAAGGTCCCTTCCAACTCTGTTACTATTAAAAGGTCTATTTTCTTTCCCCATATCAGGTATATAAAGGTAAAGGTTCCCCTCGCACATATGTGCTAGCCGTTTCCGACTCTAAGGGGTGGTGCTCATCTCCATTTCTAAGCCGAAGAGCCAGCGCTGTCCGAAGACGTCTCCGTGGTCATGTGGCCGGCATGACTCAACACCAAAGGCGCACGGAACACTGTTCCCTTCCCACCAAAGGTGGCCCCTATTTTTCTACTTGCATTTTTAACGTGCTTTCGAACTGCTAGGTTGGCAGAAGCTGGGACAAGTCATGGGAGCTCACCCCGTTACGCAGCACTAGGGATTTGAACCGCTGAACTGCTGACCTTTCGATCAACAAGCTCAGCGTCTTAGCCACTGAGCCACCACATCCGTATGTCACTGCGTCAGGTATGTAGGATATTTTAAATCCAATCTCTAGGTATAAGTTGGAGCCAGTTCGGGGCTGACGTTAAGGTGTCAGGCTAAAAACTGGGAGACTGTGAGTTCTAGTCCCACTTTGGGCACAAAGCTAGCTGGGCAATCTTGAGCCAGTCACTTTTTCTCAGACCTAAGAAGGCAATGGCAAACCACTTCTGGAAAACCTGAGTAACAAAACAGTTTTTGAGAATTGGACATGATTGAACAGGACAGAAAAAAGGCCTAAGTATGAGTTGTGACCAGCATGAAATGGAATTCTGCAACAAGTTTTGGTCACCATACTACAAAAAAGACGTTGAGACTTTGGAAAAAGTTCAGAGAAGAGCAATTAAGATGATCAAAGGCCCAGAGACTAAAACGTATGAAGAACAGTTACAGGATTTGGGTCTGGATAGTCTAGTGAAAAGAAGAACTAGGATTGACAGGATAGCAGTCTTCCAATATTTGAAGTTCTGTCACAGAGAAGAAGGGGTCGACTTATTCTCCAAAGCACCAGAAGGCAGGACAAGAAACAATGGTTGGAAACTAATCAAGGAGAGAAGCAATCTAGAATTAAGGAGAAATTTCCTGACAGTGAGGACAATTAACCAGTGGAACAGCTTGCCTCCAGAAATCGTGGACGCTCCATCACTGGATGTTTTTAAGAAGAGTCTAGACCAGGGGTGTCGAACTGGCCAGATTCAAGCACCCTGCAGGCCGGATCCAGCCCACAGGCCTCAAGTTTGACACCCTTGGTCTACAGAGTCACTTATCTGAAATGGTATAGGTTCTCCTGCTTGAGCAGAGGGCTGGACTAGAAGACCTCCAAGGTCCCTTCCAGCTCTGTTCTATTCTATTTTCCCATTCATCCCTTGCTTCTTTTAGTAAATAAAGATTTTAGTTCACTATTTCTGCATATCCTTCAGTCCATGCCTTTGGATTCAGAAGGTCTGCATAGCCAATTTCTAGAAGGCAAACAATGCATTTAACCAGCAATTACAGCATTAGTATATATATTTTTTTCAGTTTGAAGCTTATATATTACTTCTGGTTTCCAAGATTTATTATTTTCATTTCTATTATAAAATATGGGCAATTACAAATATTTCACAATGGGAAAGTTATAAAAGATTTAAATTGTAGAAATATAGCATCATTTGACTTTTATGTATAGTTTTCATTAACGTTTCCTGTACAAATGTTGCTTTAAAGCTTAAAATGTTCTTCCGCTGAAATGAAAACACTTCTTTAAAATGTTGGCATAACAGAAAACACTGAAAATTATAGCAGCTGCCAAATTAACCAGCCCCGGCATCTAAAGTTGCAGTAAAAACAAAAACTACACTATTCCTATACCACACAACTAAAAAGTCACTTGGTCTGCACTACTTTGCGTGTCCTCGGTAGCTTGAAAAGGGACACCAGCTTTGTCTATGCAGACATCGTCCTTCTCCTGAGTTGTAATGGTGCTGCATTCTTCATTTATAGGCAACTCTAAAGGAAACAAAAAATTGGCTTTAAAATCACGATTTCTGCATCGGCTCTAACATAATTACCATGGCACAGTTTTCCAATTGCTTCATGAGTTTTATGAAGTGAAAAAAATCTCTTTAGTTGAAAATGGGAAATAATTATCATTAAGGGATCAACTTGTAGAAAATACTTGGTTTAAAAAAAAAAAAAATCTGAATGCACGTACTGATTATTACAGATTTCCATGGAGGACTATAACCAAGTCCAATAATGACCTATCGGGCTCGGCCAGAGTTCTCAAATCAGAATCTTGCACTGAGCCATTTCTTTGTCCCCAGCTTCATCCGTTGGGTGGCTAGAAGTCACAGGGCCCAGGAAGGACTCAGAAAGAAAGAAGTTTGGGGCCAAAACTACATGGGATTAAAGCCCAAGTAAAATTTCAAGATGACCCATTTGGTGTAGTGAAGGTGGTTCTGGATTAGAAACCAGGAGATCTAGCCCCACTTTAGGCAGAAAGCCATTTGGGTGACTTTAGGCCAGTCACTCTCCCTTAGCCCTAGGAAGGCGACAATGGCAAACCACTTCCAAAAAGCTTTGCCAAGAAAACTGCGGGGGCTTCTCCATGCAGTCTCTGAAAATTGGACACAACTTAACAGAAGGGGAAAAATTCACTATAGTTAATTACTTATGTACCATGTTTCCCCCAAAATAAGACCGGGTCTTATATTAATTTTTGCTCAAAAAGACGCATTATAGCTTATTTTCCGGTTAGGTCTTATTTTGGGGGAAATACAGTACTAAACGCCTCCATCTGGTTGACGATCTTAACTGGGGCTTATTTTGGGGGTAGGGCTTATATTACGAGCATCCTGAAAAATCACGCTAGGCCTTATTTTCCGGCTGGGTCTTATTTTCGAGGAAACAGGGTATGTATTTAGTAATTTTCCTCTACTGCCACATTGAAAATAATTCTTGGAGCTGTGCACCCAACAGCTGGGATGGCTGTATCGGGTGAACACTGGTTTACAGCCCAGGCAGTTTGGGGCAGCCCTCCTGCATTTTTGCCAGGGGTTGAGAAATACCGTTGTAAACTGATTATCTCAGGAAAAAAGGGTGCTGCCTTAATAAACCGCAGCAAAGTTGGCTCAGGAATCCTGGGAGTTGAACTCCACAGGCCGTCAAGGGGCCACACCTGTCCATCCCTGATTTAAACACATCCTACAATTGACCGACATGGATCTATGTCTCCCAACAATGCGGATTAAGAGGCCTGCATTTTTTTCACGACTGTCGTTACTCTCAAATGTCACCATTAAACAGAGATTCGGGTGCCCTTTTTCAAAAATCAAATTAACTGAGGAGTGTCAACTTTCAACCAGTCTGAACTGGTGAATTCTAGCAACACAAATATGAAAACTCCCTCCAGCCATTGTCATCAAAGTTCTACTTATTTAAATTATTATTATTTAATAATAACATTAAAATTATTATTTACTCGTCGGCCTTCAGCAAAGCAGCTTTTGGGGGATGGAAAGAGGAACCGCTCTAGGTTTAAATTATTTAAAATTGTGGCTTTTGAGCAGGAACCTGAGAATTCTAGTATCCCCAAATGCCTCGGTCTTTCATGGTTGATACTTAGACCTCACCATCGCTCTGAGATTGACTGAGCTGGGTTTTGGCTTGTCTTCTCTCAAGGGCTCTCCGTCTGTTCATTTCTATTCTCTGCTGTTGCTCCTCGGTCAGGGCAGGGCTTAAAGATGGAGAACCAGATTCTTTTGGGGTATTCTGCGTTTCGGGAAGGAAAACTGGTTCCTCGGCGGCTGGGCTTAGTCTGTTGTTCTCATCTTCACCTGTTTTAGATGGAAGATGGATCACTATTAATCAGTAATCAGCAAGGTCAGTGTCTCTCAACCTCAACAATGGCTGGCTGGGGAATTCTGGGAGTTGGCATCCACACAGCTTAAAGTTGTTGAGGTTGAGAGACACTGATCTAGGCTATCAGAGTTTCTTGCAAAATCAAATCCAAAAGCACACACAGATAAACTGATTCAGCAGGATTCATTAACTTCTCTTTATGTATATAATAACAGATGAAGTAAATTTTACAATACCAATAGTCGATTCTTCAACTTGGTAGAAGTTACAGGCAAAACACAAGGCAGGAGAGAACAGTTAGTTTCATTTCAGCAGAGCAGACAATTTCACAGACTGCTTAGTTTCAGCTTCAATTCTCTGCACAGACTCAGAAGCTGCAGACTAAGACATGCCCTGGCTCTAGTATGTCTCAGCTCCCAAACAGCCCTCATTGGCCGACTTAGTTGCTATGCCTATACATTGGTTGACCTTGTTACCATGTCTCTGCCGGTTCATGAATAATCTGACACAGGCAACCTCTACAGTTAAAACTGGGTTGCTTCAAAAAAGCACTCCAGGGATAAAAACACTCGAATCAATATGCCCTTTTTTCAGGAAATGTTCATTTTAAAAATTTATTATTCGATTTGCATGGTTGCCCATCTTCTTTAAGCAACTTTGGGGTGACCGTACAAAAAAGAAAACAGCTGTAAAAACAACGATTTATATAATTTTTGGGATTCGTACCAACGCAACTGCCGACATATCGTTTTTCTTTCCTTGCCACCCAATCCTTTCATAAATGCATGTATGGAGCCATCGCACAGAAATCTGATAACTAGACAGACACTGTCGGCAGGAACCATCGCATTAATGTATGTGGCTACCTGGGGGATGTATTGTATTGCTTACAAATACAACCGATATTTATCGCAGCCACACGTTATGTACCTGAAATGTATTTTCTTTCTAAGCCGCTTCCCAAGTGGAATGGTATAAAATGAAGAGAATAAAATCACTCCTTTTAACAGACTGAACAGTTTTCCCTGGCCTTCAATTGTTGGAAATTAGAAACTGAATTTCTTCCCAACTCCACTGTTTATCTCTTTAACACATACCTCTCGAAGTCAAAGATAGTTCTGAGCCTCTTAATCCAATTTCAAAGAAGTTTAATCAAATTCATCATTGTCCTATATTTTTACCTATTACAGACCTGGGCATCTTACAACCTTGGTCCATATCCAGCTTTTCATGTCCCTGTCCAGCCCACGATGGTGGCATGGGAGATGGCAGTGGCCCTCCACAAGAGTTTCAGTTTCTTATGTGGCCCCTTGAGAAAATTAATTGTCCACCCCTGACTTAGGGCTTTAAATGAAGAGAGTCAGACCAAAATCTACCTTTAGAGCATCTGCAAGGTTAAAATCACCTATTTTGCCCCTTACAACCCCCCAGAATTGTAAAAAGGGACCTTAATTTTTTCCTCTGTACATTTGGGGGGATTCCAGAGGCCACGAAAAATGCTAATAGACCACGTGCATCCTTAGGCCAACCTTGGGAGCAGCCCAGAGATGCAGAAGTCCAGAAAGACTGACTTCCATTGTAAAATCCGAATGTGCAACCACATTTAAGAGTTTGGCTTTCAAGACAAGGAGCTCTGTCTGAAGCACAATATGCAATCAAACCTCTGGATACAAAATGAAACCCCACAAATGCAAGCAATTCTAGAACCGAATTATGCAGGTAGTCCTCGTCTTACAACAGTTCATTTAGTGACCATTCAGTTACAATGACACTGAAAAAAACTGATTTTATGACCATTTTTCACACGACTGTTGCAGCATCCCCACAGTCACATGATCAAAATTCAGATGCTTGGCAACTGACTCATATTTTTGACGGTCGCAGTGTTCCAGATCCCCTTTTGCGACCTTCCGACAAGCAAAGTCAATGGGGAAGCCAGATTCACTTAACAGTCGTGTTACTAATTTAAAAACCGCAGTGATTCGCATAACAAGTGAATCAAACAACAAGGCAAGAAATGTCATAAAATGGGGACAAAACTTACTTAACAAATGTTTTTTTTAGCAACAGAAATTTTGGGCTCAATTGTGGTCGTAAATTGAGGACTACCTGTACTGCTTATGAAGAAAGAACTAGATCATTCTTAATCAAAATATGGGATTCTTGGGAAAAGTGATTCCAACTTACATGGAAAGCATCTGGTTGGGGCAGGCTATCCTGGAACTGGGATTATTCTGCTCTTACTCAACGGAACATTTATTAACAAACATGCACAGGCGTTTATTTTCTGGGCTTACTCAGTAGAAACTACAGGTAGTCCTCAATTTACAACATTTTGCTTGTTCAAAGTTACAACGGCACTGAAAAAAGTGACTTATGACCAATCCCCACACTTACAACTGTTGCAGCATCCCCAATAGTCACGTGATCAAAATTTGGACACTTGGCAACTGGCTGTATTTATAGCAACTGCAGGGCCTCAAGAGTCACATGATGGGCCACTTGGGAGCATCCCAGATGGCTTCTGACAAGCAAAATCAACAGGAGAAGCTGGATTCGCTTAATGGCCACGTGATTAACCACCATGGCAAAAAAAGGTCATAAAATCAGGCGCATCTCATTTGACACCTGAATTGCTTAGCAATAGAAATCCGTGATCATAAATCGAGGTCTACCTATCATCTTTTAATGACCCCATAATCCCTTGTGGGGTGGAGTCTGGGCAACTGAATGGAGCTGAGTGTTTACTGGCCGGATGCCCTTCCTGTCACCAATGCGGAGTCATATTCAGCAGATACATTCTTATTGTGCCCAGAAACAGAAATATCTGCCTCTACCTAGGATCGAACTCAAAGCCTCCTGATTGTGAGGCGAGAGCTCCACCTGAGGTCTTGCCTATGCTACGTGCTTAACAGTTATGAGTTATTCAGTATAAACTCTCGTTAATTTTAACTGAGGGTTATTAATTTCTAATAACTAAAGACTAAAAATCCTAGACCATTATTAATTATTATTTTATTTATTATTTTATTATTTATTATTATTTCTCAGGGGCATTTATGTTCGATCAATCCAAACAAAAATAATCGAGTGCAAATACATTAAAGCCATACATGCCTTCATGACTTCTGAAGTCTTCGTTCGAAAGAGGGAGATCAAGTCGAATTTTCTTTAAGCACGTCTAGAGAGGCAAAGGTAAAACTATTTATCCCAGGTCAAGAGGCGTTAAGCTTTCTCTTAAGTGTTTCATTCCGCCCCCCCCCCCCCAAACCATTCCCATTAACACTCACCTGGACAGGTTTTTTATTTCCCAAGCTCTCTATTCTCTCCACAACATTTTCAAACTGAAATTGAGGGAAGAGGCGGTGGGCCCAATGTTCCATGTGCCTTATAAGCGTCTTCAGATCGGCTTCCTAAATAAAGGAGAATACATTTGACCGGCCCAGCAACAGGAGACTGCAGGGACCCTTCCCCTTTTTAGTCTTCCCAGGCTCTTCCCCAAGCATTAGGCTAGGATGGGATTCAGTCCGGAGGCTGTTGGTCTGAGCTGGCACCTGGTGGGAAGCATTGTTTTCCTTTTATTCTTGTTCTTACTGGCTATTTGAGGGCCCTAGGACCGTGATGGCGAACCTATAGCACGCGTGTCACAGGTGGCACGTGGAGCAGTATCGGTGGGCACGCGAGCATTGCCCTAGATCAGCTGCAGCACGCATGTGCACGCAGGCCAGCTGATTTTCGGGCCTTCTGACCCCGCCAGAAATCAGCAAACGGGCTGTTTCCGGCCTCCGGGAAGGGAGGGGGGGGCACCTTTGCCCTTCCCAGGCTCCAAGAAAGCCTCTGGAGCCTGGGGAGGGCGAGAAATGGGCCTACCATGCTCACCATGCCATTGTGTGCCAAAAGTGAGGGGAGTGCAGGGGGGTCATGCGCGCATGCGCGGAGTGCATTGAATTATGGGTGTGGGCACGTGTGCACGCGACCCCTCCCCCGCACTCCCCCCCACCCGCTTTTGGCACGTGACGGCAAAAAGGTTAGTCATCACTGCCCTAGGATCATTAGATGAGCTATGTGAGACAGGTAGTCATATATGTTCTTTAAGTAAATAATGAGGCCTGTCCACTGCTAGGGTTTATTTTGTTGTTTAAATCAAAGGTTTTGATGGAATCTTCTTTATCTATCGCATAAAGCAGGGGTCCCCAACTCCCGGGCCGCAGCCCACTACTGGGCCGTGAGCGGTTCAGAACCGGGCCATAGAAGCGGCGGGTGAGCTCACACGCGTGCGCATCCCCACTTGCGCGAACAGCAGGCGAGCACATTGCACAAACACTCCATTTGCACATGTAGAGTCAATGGGGAAGCCAGATTCACTTAACAACGGGGTTACTAACTTATCAACTGCAGTGATTCACTTAAGATCTGTGGCAAGAAAGGTCGTAAAATGGGGCAAAACTCACTTAACAAATGTCTCACTCAGCAACAGAAATTTTGGGCTCAATTGTGGTCATAAGTCAAGGACTATCTGTATTATGTCTGTCATTTCATTATTATCCAGAATATCTTTGTTTGAATAATTACTTTGCCTGCAGAGATGGAGCCTTGCAGAAGTATAACATCAAACAAAAATTACTAAATATTAATAAAATATAAGCATAACAACTTTAAATAAAGATAACCACACTGGCATGGGAGCTCCGAAAATATCAGTGATAAACTTCACATTTGAACATTACAACTTTTAGATATTGTAGACTATCTATGGCTGCAACAACTACAAAAATCCACAAAACCTTTCTCAGCCATTCCTTACCTCATGACCTTTACCTTTGAATTTTACGTTGTCGAACAAATTGCACAAAGCTGGAAGTCCTCGCTCTGAAGTTAATCTGCAAACATTAGAAGGGTCTCCAGTTACTTGGAAAATATCATAAATAGGGACTCCATCATCCAAGATCTTGAAAGAGAAAGCCAACACTTGATGAGTCTTAGTCCTTGTCCAGCCAACAGGCTTCGTTGCTCTGCTTTGATCAATTGATATGGTACAATTGAACGACAGTGACAAGTATGACAACTCTTTAGGCTTATCTATTAGGACTACCAATCCTTGCTGTTCCGATTAATACGTTAGTGGTATCTGAAAACAGATGCTCTGAACCAGAGGGACTTTTGAGTTATTTCAGCTGGGGAGTTCTGTCTGGAATGCTTTGAACTGTTTTCATTTTGGAGAATTTACTTTTCAAGCCATTTAACCACCTTCCCACAATCCCATTCTGGAGATCCAGCAAGGTTCATAAAGGAACAGTACATTTTGGAACACAGCATTCCCAAATCAATGTATTTTACACAAAAATGGAAAGAAGTCTTGGCTTTTTTTTTTTTTTTTTACAAATTACAGGTAATCCTCAATTTATGATCACAATTGAGCTCAACGTTTCTGTTGCTAAACGAGATAGTTGTTAAGTGAGTTTTATGACCCCATTTTATGACCTTTCTTGCCACAGTTGTTAAGTGAATCTCTGCATTTGTTAAATTAATAAAAGGATTGTTAGTGAATCTGGCTTCGCCATTGAATTTGCTTGTCAGAAAGTCACAAAAGCGGATCACCTGACCAGGGGACACTGCAACCGTCATAAATATGAGTCAGTTGCCAAGCATCTGAATTTTGATCACGTGACCATGGGGGGATGCTACAACGGTCACAAGTGAAAAAACTGGTCATAGGTCACTTTTTTCAGTGCTGTTGTAACTTTGAACGGTCACTAAATGAATGGTTGTAAGTCAAGGACTAACTGTATACCGTATTTTTTGGACGAGACACTTTTTTGTCTCCCAAAAGGGGGTGAAAATGTCTGTGCATTTTATAGAGCAAATATTGCTGTAGCCCCACTGGCCATTTTTTGGCCTCCGCATGGCGTTTTTGGGGCTTTTTTCGCCCTTCTTAAGGCCTTTTTTCAGTCCGTTTTCAGGGCTTTTTTCAGCTTGTTTTTGAGGCTTTTTTCAGCCCATTTTGAGGCTTCTTTTCAGAAAAAATGGGCCGAAAAAAGCATCAAATACAGGCCAAAAAAAGCCTCGAAAACAGGCTGAAAAAAGCCCCCAAAACGGGCCAAAAATGGGGTGCACGGAGGCCGAAAACTTTTTTTTTTTGTTTTCCTCTTCTAAATTTAGGTGCGTCTTATAGTCCGAAACATACAGTAATCTAAAAGATAGAAACCAGATGTTATGATCACAGACACTTAAGAAAAATCCATGAAGCGAGTCAGGGCAATCCCATAGCTGAATGTCATGGGATGAGCATGAGTGTCTCTAGTGGAAATTACAGGCAGCTGAGGGGCTTCCCGATACTCAGCGACGAAGATGTTTCTCATAACTTTGGGAGGGCACCAACCGGTCAACAGAGGAAAAAAACAACCCAGCATCTCTGTTCCAGAAGTTTGGCGTCATGAAAACCATTTTCAAAACAGTAAAATTGAAGCTTGTGTAAAAAAATAATAATTATAGGATATGTACCATACAGAGAGTAAAAAATGACTACATACCTTTGAGCATCTAATTTAGGTATTGTTCTTTTAACGGCTCTTCTTGTGGTCGCAGAAGAATCCTTGCTTTGTGTCAACTGATTTCCCTCTGGATCTGGTGAGTAAAACAGAACTTAATTCTAAAACTAGGAATACAAATTGCACCTATTGGATTTTTCGTCATGAATTGTTCATATTAGGAAATACATCTAGTGAAAATATATGTACAAGCAAGAAGAGAATGCCAAAGCTAACATGCTAGTCAATATTAAAAGAACTGAGGCAGAGGTAATAGGCAGGATCAATGTGCTGCAAGTGGGCAGTACATTGCAATCTCCCCAGACTCAAAATGTGCAAAGATGGTTCCTATAGCCACAACAGATAGAGGCATCTACTACTTGGGTAAATATTAAAAGGAAGAAAGACCATTTTGCCAACAAGCATAGCGCTTAGCAATAGATTTCTATTACCGCTTCACAGGGCTTTACAGTCCTCTCTAAGCAGTTTACAGAGTCAGCATCTTTCCCCCAACAATCCGGGTCCTCATAACCACTGTGCCACCATGGCTCTTATATGAATATGTCCTATCAAGTCCATATAAGAAAAGGCTCTGAAAGCTGGATCTTAAAAGCAGCTAAATGAAGAAAAATGTCTTTGCAATGTGGTGGGGGAAAAATCATGAGAACACCGTGGACCTCTCAAAAACCAAATAATTCTAGATGATGTACAATCAGACTGCTAAATAAAAGCAAAATGAAGGCAAAGTTTATGTCAGACCTGCCCCAGTCTGATTCCTTAGGAAAATAAAACTCTCGACTCCATTTCATTTTCATTTCATTTCATTTTATTAGATTTCTATACCGCCCTACTCCCGAAGCACTCAGGGCGGTGCACAGCCAAACAATAAAAACACATACAATACAAAATTTAAAAATAGAATAAAATCAAATTAAATAATTTTGGCCCCTGAAAAGGCACTTTTACTAAGATTGCAGAGTCAAGAGGAATCTAAAATTCCCGAGCGCCAATGCATAGTCAATCCAGCACCGCTGAGATGTTGTAAGAAACTCTGAGGAGTTTGGGCTGGTGAAATTCCATTTTCAGGGCAAATGGCCTTGAAGTTGCCAGCACACCAACACAAACCAGATTCCAAATGGCCCTGTTCTTCCTCAACTGTCGATTTCCCTCTCCCAATTTCCCGCCATAAAGGTATACAGCAAATTGCTCATTTGTTCCCCTTCCCTTCCCTGATTGATGGCAAAACACCTGCAAGGTGCCAAGCCAGAGCTGGTGGTTCTGACAGTTTGAATATTTTGGACACATATTATATGTAACCAAAGGGTCACTGGGAAAGCCTGTGGGGAAAAAATCAAAGGCAAAAAAAGAAAACCAATAGAGGATGAAGGTGAGAGATAGCATCACTGATGAACAAGCAGAAGCTTACATAAATGCCAAGGAGTCATTGTCTGACAATCCTGGCAAAATTGTGTTCTTCAAGAGGAACCGAACAACAAAGCTATAAATGCCACTGATTCTATTGACTCCAGCATCACAGATAGCTTGTTTTAAAATTTTACTTCCCTTTAATCATGTTCGACTCTCAGAGACTGCCTGGACAAGTTGTTGCAGTTTTCTCATAAGTCATTTGCCATTGCCTCCTTCCTAGGGCTGAGAGAAAGTGACTGGCTCAAGGTCACTCAGATGGCTTAATGCCCAAGGCAGAACTAGAACTCATAATCTCTTGGTTTCTAGCCAGTAACCACCACACCATCTAAATTATGATATATCGCTATTTTATTGTTGGGCTTTTTATTTCTTTAGAAAATGCATATGGCCACCCACTCACTTTAAGAGACTCTAGATGACCCTTTTAAATTATTAATTATACCTATGACATTTGTAGCAAGGTAGAAAATATGTACACTAGTTCAGGAGGTTTTGCCACAGCTCTGCCATGTGCAGCATGATGGCTACATATGTATACATGCATATAATTATATATAAAATGAAATCCTCCTAAAATAACTGGTATTAAGTGATGACCATTTATATGTATGTATATTTTGGAGATACTCCCAATGAATATTGTAAGGCTTATTCACAAATAAAGGCATTATATTTCAATTGTCAAGAGAATAATTACCTCCATTGAGTAAGGCATCTTCAGCTGCCCCCCCTGGAGAGTCTGGGGGTAGGAGGGGCTGAAAGGTCTCATCTTGTGTGTGTTCATAATCAGGAAGATCAAATAAATTGTTTTCAACAGGATCTATCATGTTGCCTCAAGGATGCTTAAAACCTGCAAATGTCAATAAGAGGAGGAGGAGGAAAGATAAAGAGCAAAATAATTCTCAAATCTTTGCAGAACATCTCAAAATTCAGCGATAGAGAAGATTACTACACAATAATCTTGTCTGCAATATTATTGCAGACAAGATTATAATCAAATTCTGCACAGATTATTATTAAAGTGCAAATTCTGCACTTTCATTTGGAAGCATGGTGTTACAAAAGAAAGATTGCCTTCGCAAATTGCACTAAAGCTGAGTTTGTTTAACCCAGTTTACTGATTAATAAATTCATAATAACATTCATGGTCAAAGAAAGGCTTAAAAATGATCTGGCAATTCCGAGTTTTCCTGGTGGCCTTATAGGAACAGTTTCTCCTTTCCCAAAGGGGGGGAAGTAGAATCATAGAGCTATAGGGTTGGAAATGACCTTGGAGGTCATTTAGTCCAACCCCATCCTGACCTATACCATTTTAGACAAATGGCTGTCCAGTCTCTTCTTAAAAGCCTCCAGTGTTGAAGCACCCACACTTTCTGGAGGAAAGCCATTGCACTGGTTGATTGTTCCAAGTATCCGGAAAGTATTATGTATCATGGGAGAAATGGTACAAATGGATTGAAAACAGAAAAATAAAATAGATTGAGATATAATAGAATTTGATGAAATAAAGTGCATAGAGTATAAGAACTGAGTAGCGATATGTCGTGTAAAAGATCACAGTTCTGCACAAAAATTTTATTCTTTTTTGCATTTTTGTACTTACGTTTTTGTTTTTTGTTTGTTTAAAAATTAATAAAATATGTTTTTAAAAAAAGAAGAAGGCAGGAGACTTCTACGAGTTCGAGCCTGGCGTTAGGCATGAAAGCTGGGGGATTTTGGGCCCGGAATGGGACCACTTGCCACGGCCAACTCGCTGCAGGAAAATTTCAATTCAATTCAATTCCATAACCTTTATGGCCAATTCAATTCAACCCTTCAGCCATTCTATTTAATTATTTTTACTTAAATTATTATATTTATGTATTTAAAATCTAGCTTATGATTGATTAAATGAAATACCTTGTATTTTGCTCTGGGAAGTCTGGGGTAGAGGGGGGGATGAGGGGGGGAAAGGGGGGGGGGAACATGGGGGGAAAGAAAATTCTTGGTTTTTTTTGGTAAAACTTTTCAATTAAAAAAAAAATTAAAAAAAATATTTTTTTTGCCATTGGCATTTCACCCTGTTATCTCCTTTGGGCACCCTTTCTTTTGCACGGTTTTTATTCCACCCTTACTTTGACATGAGTGCGACTCTTCATCCTGTGGCGAAATTATTTCATTTTATTTATTTATTTTTTATTTATGTAATTTATATGCCACCTTTCTCCCGAAGGACTCAGGGCGGCTTACAAAGGAAACATTCAACAATTCGAAAATTACATAAAAAAATTAAAACCCAATTAAAATTATTTAAAATTATTTCAATGTAAAAATCCCCCAACGGGAATTATCCCAGACTCCCTTCGGGCGAGGCCTTCCCTCTCAGCCCAGCCCACCTCGCAGGGTTGTCGCCTGAGGGAAAGCTGGGAGACACGAGTTCCGTGTCAGCCCTGGGTGAGCTATAAATATTCCAAACAAATAATTAAATATAATGTTGGCTACTAATGATATAATTATCAGCTGCAAAAGTAATGTTTCAATAACTTATTTGCCTAAAGTATTTCCCCCTGAAAAAGTAGCTTGTGTTTTTCTAATTCTAGAGATACTTCTATAACCGTATGGCCAAATAGTGAAAATTTCATCAAAATGTTATTAGAAAAAAATATGAAAACATTTTCTCCCATTGAATTGATTCAGACTTGAAAAAAAAATTTTTGGAGCATAGTATTAATAATTTAATTATTAGGCAAGATAAATGCAAACTATAGAAGAATATTATACTGTATTTTCCCCCCTCTTATTTCTAAAAAATACACTAAGGGATTAAGAGGATACTCTACAATGTGATTTATCAATTTTTAGGCCAACTAAGACAATACAATTTATTTTTACCATTTCTTGGTCAGCCCTGGAGTTGGATCTCCTGGTGGCCTCCCATCCATTTACTGACCGGGACAACCGGCGCTTCCCTTCCCCAAACGGGCCACTTGCGCCAGAGAGAGAGAGAAGCCTCCCAACTCCCGGGGTGTCCATCCACACTCCCGTACCCAAAATATCCCGCTGCGGCTGCCTCCCGAAAGGCTCTGCCGGCCATCTCGCTCCTTCCTTACCAAGAGAGCCGTCCTCTCAGCCGCCGCCGCCGCCAATTTTGCCGGCTGCACCGGAAGCAGTTTGATCCCGCCTTCTGAGCTGGGCTTCCGCTTCCGGAGCGGAGCAAAAAAAAAAAAAGCGCGGGAATCACAGGCGGACGTCTCGCGTCCTCTCGCGAGAGGAACCGCGCACCGTTAAACTTAAAAAAAAAAAAAGTGGATTCTGGGAGTTGAAGTCCACAATTGGTCTTAAAGGGCCCAGCCTCCGTACTCAAACTAAACAAGCTTCTTTCTCTAAGTTTTTGCCATCCCACTAGGCGGAACGACGGCCTTCAAAACAGGGGTCCCCAAACTTGGCAGCTTTAAGACTTGTGGACTTCAACTCCAGCTGGCTGGAGAATTCTGGGAGTTGAAGTCCACAAGTCTTAAAGCTGCCAAGTTTGAAGGCCTCTTTTTCTAAAAGGTGTTTGAGCAAGGAGAGAACATGACCTCTCTACATCTATGGAGATTCTCCCAGTCATGGTTGTTCCAAAGATGCTTTTTCTTTTTTTGTTTTTTCCCCAAGAGGCAACTGGACTTTCTTGGGGTTTTTTTCTTTGAAGACGTTTCGCTTCTCATCCAAAAAGCTTCTATTCTCCCCCCCCACCCCCTCCAGTCAGAGCTGAAGAAGCTTCTTGGGTGAGAAGCGAAATGTCTTCAAAGAAAAACCAGAAAGTCCAGTTGCCTCTGGGGGGGGGGGAGAAAGAAAAAGCATTTTTGGAACAGCCATGACCTGGACTACAGGAACCATTTGCACTACTCAAGTGACCCTAAGGACACAGACAAACCTCCAAGTGGCCTCAACGACTCTCTAAAAGGATGCAAATGACCAGCTGTCTGCGAAGAATATAAATCCTTCCATTCTCCACCCTCCAGTCAGAGCTGAAGAAGCTTCTTGGATGAGAAGCGAAACGGCTTCAAGAAAGAAACAGAAAGTCCAGTTGCCTCCTGAAAAAGCACCTTTGGGACAACCGTGACTGGGATGACTGAGGATTTCTACAGACTTCTATCTATACAATTTGGGATGAACACCCTTGGAATGATGTGGGAGTAGGAATGGATTTCCAGAGGGAAAATAATTGCAGACTACAGGAATTAGGAGCACCACTCAGGTGACCCTGATGACACAGACAAACCTCCAAGTGCTGCACCGACCCACAGAAAGGATACAAATGGCCAGCTGTCTGCAAGGAATACAAATCCTTCCATTCTCCACCCTCCAGTCAGAGCTGAAGAAGCTTCTTGGATGAGAAGCGAAACAGCTTCAAAGAAAGAAACAGAAAGTCCAGTTGCCTCTTGGGGGTGGGGGGGAGAAGCACCCTTGGGACAATCTCCATAGATGTAGAGAGGTCATGTTCTCTCCTTGCTCAAACACCTTTTAGAAAAAGAGGTCTTCAAACTTGGCAGCTTTAAGACGTGTGGACTTCAACTCCCAGAGTTCCTCAGCCAGCAAAGCTGGCTGGAGAATTCTGGGAGTTGAAGTCCACACGTCTTAAAGCTGCCAAGTTTGGGGACCCCTGTTTTAGAAGGCCGTCGTTCTGCAAAGTGGGATGGCAAAAACCCAGAGAAAGAGGCTTGTTTAGTTTGAGTACGGAGGCTGGGCCCTTTGGTCAAAATTAGTTGCAACTTGAAAAGGAGACCACGAGGAAATGCCCAGGTTATGGGTGAAGAAGTGGGAAAAGCAACCGCTGTGAAGACTGGTCAGGAAGCAAGCCAGGCTTTTCCTCATCCTTTACTGTGGTCAAGGCAAACCCCGGATGCTGCAACCCAGGAAAAGCAATGCTGTCCTACATTGCAGGGCCGTCCTTCATGGAGATCCCCTCGGTCTTCTGCAATCCAGGGGTGAAATCCAGCAGGTTCTGACAGGTTCTGGAGAACCGGTAGCGGAAATGTTGAGTTGTTTGGAGGACTGGGAAATATCACCCCTGGCTGGCCCCAGAGTGGGGTGGGAATGGAGATTTTGCAATATCCTTCCCCCAGAAGTGGGGAGGGAATGGGGATTTTACAGTATTCTTCTCCTGGAGTGGGGTGGGAAGGGAGATTTTACAATGTCCTTCCTCCAGAAATAGGGAGGGAATGGGGATTTTGCAGTATCCTTCCCCTGGAGTGGGATGGGAATGGGGATTTTGCAGTATCCTTCGCCTGCCACACCCACCAAGCTAAACCACGCCCACCAACCTACGCCCACAGAACCAGTAGTAAAAAAATTTGGATTTCACCACTGGTGCAATCCCACCCTCAGATACAAATGCTGCCCACCATTTCAGGTAGCTCGGGTGAAGGAAGCCCAAGCCAGCCCAGCTAAGAGGCGCCCTCGCGTGACCCGAGAGAAGTTTTGAATGAGGAAGAAGTCACCTCTACTGAAACTATCTCCTATCTCTGCCACGCTCCTCTGCGCATGCATGCTCACTTCCCGCCCTCCCGCCCGCATATTTCTGGGCCTCTCTGCTGTTGCCATGCGCTGCTGTTGCCGCTGCAACTTCATAGAGCTGTGGGCAATTTGTTCTGTGCATTTATGTTTTGGTCAGGGTTGCTAGTTGCAAGGTTTTTAAACCCAAATATTAAGTTTTTTTAAATCCTTGACTGGGTTTCTAGGTTTTCATGAAATCTACGTTTTTCTAGTCTAATATTATGCTGCATGTATTAAATTAAATTTTAATTAGAAATTTTATGATGTTTGTGTGTCTATATTTTTCTTGACTGTACACCGCCTTGAGTCCTACGGGAGAAAGGCGGTATAGAAATATAATAAATAAATAATAAATAAATAAATAGGTAAGAATAATTGGGTTTAAAATTGTGCGTTTTTTTTGTTATCTGAATTTATTTGAGCATGAAATCTTATTGCATGGGGGGGGGGTTAGGACACTTCTCCGGCAACGCTGCTTTTTCTCTGCTGCAGCATCTGCTGAGTTCCCTGCCCGTTTGGACATGCCCAGTGATTTAATACTGGTCACTTCCCCTGCTGGCTGGGGCATATGAGAGTTGTAGTTCTTTAGACTTAGGATAACTTTATTGTCACTTTGAAAGTACACTAATCAGCACGCATGAAAATGAAACTCCGTTGCATGCAGCTCTCAAAAGGGTCTCTACCTCCAATAGACACTACATAAACATGACGAAATAAATATAAAATTATGCATATGCCCACATATATGACACACAGTATGTTGCATAGGATATGCCAAAGTATGTTGTCTTTGCTGGACAACACATGTTTGAGTGAACTAGACACAATTGTTTCAATTATTGACCTGTGCACAACACAGCTTGTCTTTTTGACAGCTACTGTAACAAGAGTGCCATTGCAACAATTAGAATAGAATAGAATTTTATTGGCCAAATGTGATTGGACACACAAGGAATTTCTTTGATGCATAAGCTCTCAGTATACATAAAAAGAAAAGATACATTCCTCAAGAATCATACGGTGCAACACTTAATGATAGTCATAGGGTACAAATAAGCAATCAGGAAACTATCAATATAAATCATAAGGATATAAGCAACAAATGAATTAACAAGTTAAGGACACCCTGGTTTAAGGCGATGTATGAACTTGGGACTTTAAGATCCTCGCAGAATATTAAAATCGTGGAAGGATTGGATTCACAGACCACTGCATCTCAAGGACAATACAAGGACATCTGCAGCGCAGATACTCCTCGACTTATGACAGTCATTGGGACCAGGCTTTTTGTCACGGTGATCATACAGCCCAATGCACATGACCGCATCACTTAGGGATGACAATCCTAGCAGTCCTGCTTGCTGTCGTAACCCCAGCACCGTGCAGGTCGTTAAGCAGGAAGAGGCAGGTGCCACAGGGAGAGCAGAGGACTTAAATTGGCCCTTCACACCAGTGGCCTTCTGCATTCTCGGTCTGCTGCCACTTTTCTACACCTCTAATTCAGGGCCAGCACTGGCCGGAGTGGGGCCTCAAAGTCCACAAAGGCCAGCCTCAATCCCCATGCTCCCTAGCACCCACCATGGCACCTGACCTTTTTGGCACGGTTGTTAACTGTATCGCCACAAGTTGCTAAGTGAATCACGTAAATTGTTAAGCAAATCCAGCTTCCCCCATTAAACTTGCCTGTGAGAAGCCGGCTGGGGAATTCTGGGAGTTGAAATCTACAAGTCTTAAAAAGTTTCCAAGGTTCGGAAATTCTGATCTAGGTGAATGCAATACAGGCAGTCCTCGACTTGCGACCGCAATTGAGCCCAACGTTTCTGTGGTTAAGCGAGATATTTCTTAAGTGAGTTTTGCTCTATTTTACAACTTTTCTTGCCATTGTTGTTAAAGTCAATCGCTGCGGTTGCTAAATTAGTAATACAGTTGTTAAGGGAATCCGGCTTCCCCCTTGACTTTGCTTGCCAGAAGGTTGCAAAAAAGGGGATCACGTGATCCCAGGACACTACAACCGTCATAAATATGAGTCAGTTGCCAAGTGTCTGGATTTTGATCAGGTTACCCTGAGGATGCCGCAAAGGTGGTAAGCGTGGAAAATGTTCGTAAGTCACTTTTTTTCAATGCTGTTGTAACTTTGGTCACTAAGCGAACCATCGTAAATTGAGGACCACCCGTACTGTATACAGCCTCCTATTTGTGTGAGGGTGTTTACAAAGAGTAACGATGGTGCCTCTCACCAAATAATCTGGCAAGTTCCCATCTGGGAAGACCCCCCTCCACTCCACCACCACCACCACCCCGCAGCATAAATGGGAGAGTCCAAAAAGAGGCCAAAGCCTCGCTGGAACAGGGGGGACAGCAGAGAGAGGATCGGAGGGAGCCGCGTGCGCTGGCAGCCCAGTCGCGGTGCGGAGGGCGCCCGGTTGGGGAGCGGCGTCCCTGGGCTCTTCGGCTCGACGGGGGGGGAGGGGTCTCCCCTCGCCCTCCCACCGCTCAGGGGGCCGGAGGAAAGGGGCAGCGCAGCCCCCACTACCGCCCCCTCCTCTCCCTCCCCCTCCACTCCCCCTCCTCCCCTCTTCCTCCCCCTCCTCTCCCCCTCCCCCCTCTTCCTCCCCCGCCCCTCCTCTCCCCTCCCCCCTCTTCCTCCCCCGCCCCTCCTCTCCCTCCTCTCCCCCCCCCCGGCGTGGCGGCTCCCCCGCATTCCGGGCAGGAGGGCCGGAAGCTCGGCGGCGTCTTGTTGCTGCCGGTCCGAGCCGAGCCAGGAGCACATGCGCCCTGCGCGCCAGCCGGCCCGAGGGAGGGGAAGCGCCCCTGCCCCTGCCCCTCGCCCGCCTCCCGCGCCTTAAAGCGGCCCCCGAGCGCAGCCGCCCGCCGGGCCCCGCCGTGGCGCACCGACCGCAGCCGCCCCGCCGCCCCCGCGCCCGCTCCGGGCTCGCCCGGCGGAGGAAGCCTCGCCCTGCCCGCGCCCACCGCCCGCCGCCACCGCCGCCGCCATGCCCAAGAAGAAGCCGGGGCCCATCCAGCTGACCCCCGCGCCCGACGGCTCCGCCATCAACGGCACCAGCCCCGCCGAGTGAGTGGGGCGCAGGGAGGGGAGGGAGGAAGGGAGGAGAGAAAGAAGGAAGCGAGGAGGGAAGGGAGGGAGAGAGAGAGAAGGAGAGAAGGAAAGGAGGAAAGAAGGAGAGAAAGAGGCGGAAGGAAGGAAGGAAGGAAAGAAAGGAAAGAAGGGAGAGAAGAAGGAAGGAGAGAAAAAAGAAAGAGAAAGGAGGGAGGAAGGGAGAGAGAAGGAGAGAAGGAAAGGACGAAAGAAGGAGAGAAAGGAGGGAGGGAGGGAGAGAAGGAAAGGCGGAAGGAGGGAAGGAAGGAAAGAAGGAAAGGGAGAGAAGAAGGAAAGAGAGAAAAAAGAAAGAGAAAGGAGGGAGGAAGGGAGAGAGAGAAGGAGAGAAGGAAAGGAGGAAAGAAGGAGAGAAGAAGGGAGGGAGGGAGAGAAAGAAAGGCGGAAGGAGGGAAGGAAGGAAGGAAAGAAAGGGAAAGAAGGAGGAGAGAAGAAGGAAGGAGAGAAAAAAGACAGAAAGGAGAGGAAGGAGGAGAGAGAGAAGGAGCGAAGGAAAGGAGGAAAGAAGGAGAGAAGAAGGGAGGAGAGAAGGAAAGGCGGAAGGAGGGAAGGAAGGAAAGAAAAGGAAAGGGAGAGAAGAAGGAAGGGAGAAAAAAGAAGAGAAAGGAGGAAGGAGAGGAGAGAAGGAAAGGAGAGGAGAGAAAGGAGGGAGGAAAGGAGAAGAAAGGAGGAAAGGAGAAAGGAAAGAAGGGGAGAAGAAGGAAGGAGAGAAAAAGAAAGAGAAAGGAGAGGGAGGAGAGAGAGAGAGAGAGGAGAGAAGGAAAGAAGAAAGAGGAGGAAGAAGGAAGAGAGAGAGAGAGGAAGGAGGGAGGAGAGAAGGAAGAAGGAGAGAAGGAAGGAGAGAAGAGAAGAGAGGAGAAGAGAGAGGAAGGAAGGAGAGAAAGGAGAGAAGGAGGAGAGAGAGAAGGAAAGGAGGAAGAAGGAAGAAAGAAAGAAGGAGAGAAGGAAGGAGAGAAGAAAGAAAGGAGGGAGGGAGGAGAGGAGAGGAGGAGAGAGAGGAAGGAAGGAAGGAAGGAGAGAAGAGAGGAAGGAGGAAGGAGGAGGAAGAAGGAGGAGGAGGAGAGAGAAGAGAGAAGGAAGAGAGAGAAAGAGAGAGGAGGAGAGAGAGAGAGAAGAAGAGAGGAGAAGAAAGGAGAGAAGGAAGAGAAGAAGAGAGAGAGGAGAGAGAGAAGGAAGAGAAGAGAGAGAAGAGAGAGGAGGAGAGAGAGAGGAGAAGGAAAGGAGAGGAGAGAGAAGGAGGAGGAAAGGAAGAGAAAGGAGGAAAGGAGAAAAGGAGAAGGGAGAGAAGAAGGAAGGAGAGAAAGAAAGAGAAAGGAGAGGGAGGGAGAGAGAGAGGAGGAAAAGGAAAAGAAGAAGAAGGAGGAGAGAAGGAAGGAGGGAAAGGAGAGAAAGGAAAGAAGGGAGAGAAGGAAGGAGAGAAAAAAGAAAGAAGGGAGGGAGGAAGAAGGAAAGGAAAGGAAAGAAGAAAGAGAAAGGAGGGAGGAAAGGAAGGAAGGAAGCCGGAGGTTCTGCGGCCACCGGTGCGGGCAGCTCTCAGCCGCGCCCTCGCCCGGCCTCCCTCCGGCTCTGGGCTGCCTGTTGCTGGAGGCTCCGGGGGCCGCTTCTTCCCCTCCGTGCAGGGGGACCTTGCCGGCCGAGCGGGCGAGAGAGCCGCATCGCCCGCGGAAGGAGCCGCCCGTGCGCTCCTGCTGGTGCGGGGCAGCGGGGCTCCGCGATCTCCCTCCGGGGGGGCTGCAGCCTTGCTTGGAAGTCGGGGCCCCCCGTGGGACTGAGACCCTCCCGCTCTCCCCCCGCCGCTTTCCCTGGCCTGGAGGAAGCCAAAGGCAGCCAGGCTCCATCCTTGGGCTGGATGAGAGAAGGTTTAGGTCACTGTTTCTCAACCTTGGAAGCTTGAAGAGGGGTGGACTTCAACTCCCAGAATCCCCCAGCCAGCGCTGCTGGCTGGGGGATTCTGGGAGTTGAAGTCCACCCCTCTTCAAGCTTCCAAGGTTGAGAAACACTGGTTTAGGTGGAATTGAAAGGGATTTGGGGGCAGACACGGGACAGGAGGAGGAAAGGAGGCCAAGCAGACTTGACAGTAATGCTGCTCTTGATTTAGGCAGCTGATGCTCTGGCTTCTCTTTCAGAAAGGTTGCTTTCACTTGTTCTAAGGGGCCCAGGAAGGAGGGAGCCCAACTATCAACATGGTGCTTTTATTATATCTGGGAGCTCTTTTTTTTCTTCTTCTTCTTCTTCTTCTGCATTTGCTTGATTTGATCTGAAAATGTTGAATGGTAATTGCCAGTATTTGTAGAGTCTGTGGCCAAAAAATAGGCTTTAGAATCTGCAGGTCAGCTGGTTAGGACAGATTAAACGGTATGGGTGGAAGTGCTTGGGCGCAAGATAGGTTGTATGGGGGTGTGGGGAGAATGTAGGCTCTGGGCAGAAGTTTTGGTAGTAATAAACTTTTCCTTTAAAAAAACAACAACCCATAAGCACTAGGTTGTTTTTCTCCTTTATTTAGCCTTTGTGCAGAGTAAATTTTTTTCAGTATTTTTCCATTATTTATTTCACTGTAATTTCTTTGTTTGCTTTGCACTCAGAGTTCATGAGAGTCCAGCAGCCTACAAGTTTAATAAATTATTGTTATTATTTGCAGGAAAGTTGGGAAAAGAACCAAACTGTCTTCTGGAAATGCACTGAGATCTGAATATTGGTTCTTGCGATTTCTCCCTCTCTCTCTCTCTACATATATATCAGATTAGGTAATGGAAAACTAGGAGCAAAGGGGTCATTTTTGCAATGGAGGAAATCAGCACTTCACTTTTTCAAGAATTGCCATTGATATTGGGGGGGGGGGCTGATAAATAACCTACAGTTCGAAGTGAGAAGGATGCCTGGCCCAAGTAAGGCACCCGGTTGCTGACAGGTTTCGCGTCCCGTCTGATTTTAAAAACTTTTATTTGTTTTAGAAATGGAAGCTCACACCCTGCAAAACAAACTTGAGCCCAGAGGGCGATTTAACTGCGAAAAAAGCCAACGCCATTTTAAGATGCCTCAGGGTGAGCAAAGCAACCGCAGCCTGAGAAGCCGTGATTCTCTGCTTGATCGATGGTTGCCCCTGGATTATTGGGTCCCCTTCTGGGCACCGAGTGTTCATCATAGTGGACAAATGGGAGCAGCCAAATTGGAGAGGGATGCAGAAAGGCAGTCTGGAGCAAATGACGCAGGTCTTCCGGGAGCCAGGAAATATTCCCACCTGCCATGCAGCCGAGGGTGTTCAATTTAATTGTTTTGGCACCCTGGCTACTGCGGAGGCTGTGATGGTGGTGTCAAGCTAGAATCCCTTGTGTGCAGTTCTGGCTCCTGCCTTCCTGAGACGGCATCCAGCAGGAGTTGGAAGTGGAGGACGGATCCCTTCCAAATGGGGGGAATCGGCAACCTGGTGAACATTGTCCTCATTTTAAACTCCAGATTAATTATCATGAGCAATAGCAATGGCAATTCTTGAAAAAATCAGGTGCTGACTTCCTCCATTACAGAAATGACCGGTTTACATTCCCTTTTTCTTTCTTTCTTTCTTTCTTTCTTTCTTTCTTTCTTTCTTTCTTTCTCTTTCTTTCTTTCCTTTCTTTCTCTTTCTTTCTTTCTTTCTTTTTATCTATCTATCTATCTTTTTCTTTCTGTGTCTTTCTTTCTGTCTTTCTCTATTTCTCTCTTTCTCCTTCCTTTTCTCTCTCCCCCCTTCTCATAGATGGATAAACTATCAAATTTATATCTATTTATTTATTTATTTATTTATTTATTTATTTTATTAAAATTTATATGCCGCCCTTCTCCCGAAGGACTCGGGGCGGCTCACAAGTATAAAATGACAATAAAAACAATATCACTAGATAGCATTAAAAATCCAATTTAAAATCCCACAGTTAACTAAAAAACCCAACCAGATCAGGTGATTTGAGTAAAAAGCCAGGTCTTAAGATCTTTACGGAAGGAACAGAGATCAGGGGCTGTCCGGAGCTCGGTGGGTAATTCATTCCAGAGGGTCGGTGCGGCCACCGAGAACGCCCTCAATCTGGGGGCCACCAGCCGACATTGTCTGGCCGATGGCACCCGGAGGAGGGCAGCCCTATGTGACCGCACTGGGCGGTGGGAGGCCGGCGGTAGGAGGTGGTCCATCTATCGAGAGAGGAATAGGTGAAGAAGCTATCAAACCTGTATGGCTGCCCGTCTTAGAAGAAGTGTGAGTGACTCCAGGCAGCATATAGCCAAAAAAGTAAAATAAAGTCATTGACTAACAATTGGACCGTCTGTGCTGAAGTGTCATAATCCAAACACTATTAGAGAAAAGTGATCCAAGACCAATATTCAGTTCTCAGCGGTATTTCCAGAACGGTTGTTTTTTCCAACTTTCCTCCAAATAGTACCATAATAATTTATTAAATGGTAGGATCGAGCAGGATTTGGTAACATATTATTAAGCCCCTATAGAGAACAACTAGTTGGCAAAATATGGAATAACGGGAGAGTCTTCCTTCCTTTCTTTGTGGGAAGAATTGGATCCCTGATGCAGTTTGCAAAGGAAATGCAAGTGATTCATCCAGCTTTTATTTGCCCAGACTATTCCACCCCCCAAAAAAAGCCTTCAGGAATGAGAGAGCAGAGAAGAATTTTAACTGAAAACTGCACATGGCGTGCATTTTTTTTTAAAAAAGATTGTATTTTGACCTCTATATTTTATCACCATTTGTTAAGACCGGAAATGCAGAAATACAAATATTGACACCTTGCAGAGCAAAATGCCACCATAATTCATAGGTATTCCTAGAAAATAAATTTGGAATTACATTCTGAGATTTTGCCTAAAAGCACCCTGGCTGTCCCAAAAGAAAAGACCAAGGGAATGATCATTATAATTCCAAGTTTTGCCTTTATGCACAGTAAAATGGAGATGAGCAGAATGTAGGGCCATATTT